CATCGGAGGTGGTATACCTATTGCCATTTTTTTATTTTTTTAATTTATTATTTAATATTAATTAATTATGTTTTTATTTTTTTCCAGCCAGCACCATCCCATTGTGAACTTGGGCATAGATCACCATCATCTCATATATGGGAATAACTGATGGTGAAAGTTATTTTCATTATGCCAAGAGGTGCAATGGTGGATTATGCCTTCTTTCACAAGTGGAAGAATATTAATGGACATGTTCCAGCGATCATGTGTGCCTCCAATACCAACCCACTGATCTGATCAATGCCGTTGGCACGGATGCACAATCCCTTGCCAAATCACCATTTCTCTTCTTATGCTGGGCATGGCTAACCATACTGTGATTCTATGGTTACCCAGAGGCAGTGCCCAGGTTAAGAAGACGTACTCCCTAGTTCCCACTCCTATCCCGACTCTTGGAACTGGAGATAATCGTGGTTTTGGAGACCGCCACGTCGGATGAAGGGTCTCACCTTAAGGCCCTCCCACGTCAATTTTTTTTTTGCGTCCAGGACGGATACGGTGTATGCAAGGCCACCGCAACAATTTTTATGGAATTCGGCACAAAAATCTAAGGCGATTCAAAAGATACAAGCTTCAAGCGTGTAAAAAAAATCTCCAAAGGACGCGTGCAAAAAAATTCACTGGCTGTCCGATCACCGTATTCATTAAAACTGGTCCCGCTTCTCAAAGCTCAAAGGAAAACTCACCGGAAAGAAATGTTTTCTTCCAATGAAGAGATAATCGCCGAATCTGAGGCCTATATTGAAGCAAATGACAAATTTGAATACAGAAGTGGTAATTATGTTGAATAAAGAAAAACAAAAATATACAATAAAAATGTGTGTTTTATTTTAGGGTTGGACGGGAATTCATTATTTAATTTAGGTTTGTGCTTTAAAATTTTCCAAAAATATTAAATTTTTCAAAATAACATGATTTTTTGATAACGTCTTCAGTTATTGATACATCTAAAAACTACATTTCCCCTAACCAATACTGAAAATTCCATCCGAATAGCTCAATTCATTACAAAGTTATAGCCATTTGAAGTTGATCTTGTGTCAAAATATAGCGGCTACACGATTCTGTTTGCCTAATACCTCAAATGAGAAAAATGAAGAAAATGGCATATTCACAGAACAGAAAAATGCAGCAACGTTGCCAGATTGTTTGTTGCGTTTATGATGAATTTCGATGTATGTTGATAAATTCTGAGCATACTTTTAGGCGCATCATTCAAAAAGAAAAGCAAAGAAAAATGTAAATGTCATAGGGTTTTATTGTAGCGCCTAAAAGTATGCTCATAATTTACAAGCTAACATTAAAGCGCTGTGAAAGCGATCTGGTAACACACCTAGTTGTTTGCATTCTTTGGTTTTTGTGGACATGCGATTTCTTCATTTTTCCAATTTGTGATACCAGGCAAACAGAATCGTGTAGCCGCTATATTTTGAAACAGGGTCAATTTCAAATGGCTATAACATTGTAACGAATTGAGATATTCGGATGAAACTTTCACTATTGGTTAGGGGAAATTGTTTACTTTATTTGTGTACCGGAAAACAAGTATTTTCTCAGCCGAGAACTATGAAAATTGTGGTAATTTGAAAATTCGTCGAAATCGCTTTGAGTTGGTGATTTTAAGACAATTTTGATATTAGATTGTTGTTGAATGTTTGCAGTAATGGGAAATTAACTCATTTGGGGGAAAATAAGGACGAATGACGGAATATGTTGAGAACATGTTGTAGTACAAATTTAACAATTGTACATCATTCAAATCGGTACGATGTTATTGAAATTAAACAAAACTAAGATTTAAAAGACTGCGACAAATCTTTTCGTGATTTAGTTGGGCTTGAAACAAGTATTCATTAAAAAACCAAGGGCTATTTTGGGTCTTGAAAAAAAAATATTCATTAAAGAAGCCAAGGCTACTTGGGGTCTTAAAAACAAATTAAAAAAATATTCCTTAGACAAACCATGCCTATCCGGGCCTTTAAAAATAGCCTTTAAAAATCCACGCCTATTTTTGGGCATTGAAAAAAGTCTTTATAAATCCATGGCTATTTTGGGTATGGAAAAGATATTCTTTAACAAAATTTTTGGGTCTTGAAAAAATATTCTTTAAAAAACAATTTGGGTCTTGAAAAAATATTCCTTAAAATTTGTTTGGGGGTCTTAAAAAACTTCTTTAAAAAAACAACGTCTGTGTTGTGTCTTAAAAAATATAATCTAGAAAATTTTTGTAAGTTTAAAAAAAGTTCGGTAAAAAAATCATGCCTATCTTGTGTCTTGAAAACATGTTCTTTAGAAAATGTTTAGGGTCTTAAACAAATATTCTATAAAAAAGCCACGCCTGGGTCTTGAAACAATATTCTTTAAAAAATCCACGCATATTTCGGGCCTTGAAAAAATATTTTTTAAAAAATCCACGCATATTTCGGGCCTTGAAAAAATATTTTTTAAAAAATCCACGCATATTTCGGGCCTTGAAAAAATATTTTTTAAAAAATCCACGCATATTTCGGGCCTTGAAAAAATATTTTTTAAAAAATCCACGCATATTTCGGGCCTTGAAAAAATATTTTTTAAAAAATCCACGCATATTTCGGGCCTTGAAAAAATATTTTTAAAAAAATCCACGCATATTTCGCGCCTTGAAAAAATATTTTTTAAAAAATCCACGCATATTTCGGGCCTTGAAAAAAAATTATTTAAAAAATCCACGCCTCTTTTAGGCCTTAAAAAATATTCTTTAAAAAATCCACGCCTCTTTTAGGCCTTAAAAAAATATTCTTTAAAAAATCCACGCCTCTTTTAGGCCTTAAAAAATATTCTTTAAAAAATCCACGCCTCTTTTAGGCCTTAAAAAAATATTCTTTAAAAAATCCACGCCTCTTTTAGGCCTTAAAAAAATATTCTTTAAAAAATCCACGCCTCTTTTAGGCCTTAAAAAATATTCTTTAAAAAATCCACGCCTTGTATGGGCCTTGAAAAATTATTCTTAAAAATTTCTACGCCTTCTATGGGCTTTGAAAAAATATTCTTAAAAATGTCTACGCCTTCTATGGGCTTTGAAAAAATATTCTTTAAAAAATCCACGCCTTGTATGGGCCTTGAAAAATATTCTTAAAAATTTCTACGCCTTCTATGGGCTTTGAAAAAATATTCTTTAAAAAATCCACCCCTTGTATGGGCCTTGAAAAAATATTCTTTAAAAAATCCACGCCTTGTATGGGCCTTGAAAAAAATATTCATAAAAAAATCCACGCCTTGAAAAAATATTCTTTAAAAAATCCACGCCTACTTTGGGTCTTTGAAAAAAATATTCTTTAAAAAATCCATGCCTTATGTGACTCTTTATAAATATATTTTTTATTACTAGTAAATAAAAATATACATATTTAAATTTTTTTTATTTTATAATATTTTATTTATTTATGTTTATATTTTAATTATTTCCCATAATAATGTCTTGGTTGTATAATTTTTTTTAATAATTATAATAATAATAGTATTTTTATAATATTGTTTATATAATAATAATGTATTTGTGTTTTCTTTTTAATTTAAAATTAATATAATTTTATAAATTAAAATTTTGTTTTCGCTTCACTTTTCATTTTCTTCTCCCTTTCAGAAAACTTACAAAATAAAATAACAAAAAAAAGAAATGTTTAAGCAAAGTGTAAGAAGAGGAAATTAAGAGAGAGGGAGGGAGAAAAAGAACAAATTCAACAAAAAATAATCCAACTAAAAAGCAAAAAATTAATAAAAAAAAGAAAGGTGATAAATTTTTGGCTAATTAAATACTAAAAATGTTACAATTGTTTTGTTGTTGTTGTAGATTTTCTTTAAATGAATTTTAAAATATTTGTTTTATAAATGTGATGAAGGATGTTGATGATTTTTTTTTTGTCTACGTTATTTTTTTAATACTTCGAGTATTATTTTTTTTTTGTATATAGATTTAGGTTGTTGACAATATATTTATATAGGTATGTATGTATGTACGTAAGTAAAAAATGGCGTCTGCAAATACACAATACATCACGTTTTGCTGTTAGTTTGTTTCTTTCTTTCGGCTGGCAATCTAGAAGCTTTATTTCGATTAGGTCCGTTTTTAAAATATAGAAATTAATTAAATTTATATAAAGACGGGATGTAGGGGGACCTATCATGTTACCGGGTCTCTATGTTTCTAACTTCATGTTTGATCTGCCATAATCAATAATATAAAAGAGCCCTGAATAATATAAAAGAGCCAACCTTAGGGAAAAGAAAAAAAAATCACCTTGGGCGAATGTGTGGTCAGCACACGGCACTACATCCGCAGGAGAGTAAATTAATACAGCCATTGGCCAGGGGCGGGGTCGAATATGGCAAATATTTTGTTCTGTTCAACAGCAGAAGTTCCCACTTTTGCAGATTTCGAAAATATCATATCGAAATCACGGACCTAACTTATTCCTATTATCAATTCAAATATTTTCTCTACCCTTGAACGATGTCCACACTAAATTTCAATATTAATATTGGCTATACAAAAATCGCAACTAATATTTTTTTGTTGTTTTAAAACTTATGCAAAAATTTGGTTAACGATAATAGCTATTAGAAATATATTGTATATAGGTATATTTATATATAGAAATATATAGATAAAGATAGAGAGAGATAAGTCAGGACTATGATTATATATTGCCATAAGAGTTGTTGTTGTTGTTCATGATCAGATATTATAATTATTGTGTATGAAAGTTCACTATCTCTTTATATTGTGTATTGGGTGTATGTATATATTTCCACTACCACATTTATATATGTATATAGATAACTATCATTGTGGTTTATATATATATTTATCGGTTATTGGGGTTTTTGCGAGATTTTGAAGCTACACATAAATGTTTTGTTTGGTATGTATCTGTGGATTCTGAGTGAATTGGCCAAGCCTTAATTGTTTCGTGTTTTTTACTTTTCTAATTAGAATTTTTATTATTTTTTACATTTTGCTCCTGTTTGTTTTCCCTAATCATATTCAATAATTGCATCATCATTAAGGCCTGTACCTTATCCAAAGGATCCATAAAACCCCGTTGCAACCATTTGGGTATTGTGGTGCGGGCATGACTGAAACCCAATTTATTGAGTATATAATCAATGCCGTAGGGTTCAATGGATTTGCCAGCCCAATAGAGGATGCGTACAGTGGGTTCCAAATGCCAGGTCTGACATTCGAAATGGCGCCAATCACGGAAGAAGGATTCCAAATCCGTATCAGCATCTGCTCGGTTACCCGATGACGATGATGTTGCCGTACCACCGCCACCAGCAGCAGTAGCAGTGCCACTTGTTCCAGCTGTAGCACCACTCGCCGCCGTGTTGGTATTAATGTTAGTAGCTTGTTTTGTTGTGTTTGTGTTATTTGAGTCTTTGGTATCGTTGTTCAAATTATGATTACTATTTGCCAAATGCTGTGCGGCAGCCGCAGCAGCATTTGCCATAGCCGAGGCTGATGAAGATGTTTGTTGTTGCTGCTGATTTACATCCAAATTACTTGAGCTGGCATTACGAGATGATAGAGTATTTGATGCGGATGAATTATTAGAGGATGTAGATGCTAAATGCTGTTGTTCCTTTAGAATTTCTTCGGTAACATAGGGTTTCAGCTGATGTTTTAGATTCTGCGAGAGATTGGGTGAGGCAGCACGGGCTGATTGGGCACCAACCTGAAAGGGAAAAGAAACACAAAAAAATTTATATTTATATAAAAAAATGGTAGGCGTAAAATTTCGAATGAATATATTTTCAAGACCCAAAATAGGCGTGACTTTTTTAAGAATATTTTCTCAAGGCTAATATCAGGCGTGGATTTTTAAAAGAATATTTTTTCAAGGCTAATATCAGGCGTGGATTTTTAAAAGAATATTTTTTCAAGGCTAATATCAGGCTTGGATTTTTAAAAGAATATTTTTTCAAGGACCCTCATAAGGCGTGGATTTTTTAAAGAAAAAATTTTTAAGGACCCTCATAAGGCGTGGACTTTTTAAAGAAGATTTTTAAGGACCCTCACAAGGCGTGGACTTTTTAAAGAAGACTTTTTAAGGGCCCTCATAAGGCGTGGATTTTTTAAAGAATATTTTTTAAGGACCCTCATTAGGCGTGGATTTTTTAAAGAATATTTTTTAAGGACCCTCATAAGGCTTGGTTTCTTTAAAGAATATTTTTTAAGTGCCCTCATAAGGCGTGGATTTTTTAAAGAATATTTTTTAAGGGCCCTCATAGGGAGTGGATTTTTTAAAGAATATTTTTTAAGGGCCCTCATAAGGCGTGGATTTTTTAAAGAATATTTTTTAAGGGCCCTCATAAGGCGTGGATTTTTTAAAGAATATTTTTAAGGGCCCTCACAAGGCGTGGATTTTTTAAAGAATATTTTTAAGGGCCCTCACAAGGCGTGGATTTTTTAAAGAATATTTTTAAGGGCCCTCACAAGGCGTGGATTTTTTAAAGAATATTTTTAAGGGCCCTCACAAGGCGTGGATTTTTTAAAGAATATTTTTAAGGGCCCTCACAAGGCGTGGATTTTTTAAAGAATATTTTTAAGGGCCCTCACAAGGCGTGGATTTTTTAAAGAATATTTTTAAGGGCCCTCACAAGGCGTGGATTTTTTAAAGAATATTTTTAAGGGCCCTCACAAGGCGTGGATTTTTTAAAGAATATTTTTAAGGGCCCTCACAAGGCGTGGATTTTTTAAAGAATATTTTTAAGGGCCCTCACAAGGCGTGGATTTTTTAAAGAATATTTTTAAGGGCCCTCACAAGGCGTGGATTTTTTAAAGAATATTTTTAAGGGCCCTCACAAGGCGTGGATTTTTTTATTTTTAAAGAATATTTTTTAAAGAATATTTTTTCACAAGGCGTGGATTTTTTAAAGAATATTTTTAAGGGCCCTCACAAGGCGTGGATTTTTTAAAGAATATTTTTAAGGGCCCTCACAAGGCGTGGATTTTTTAAAGAATATTTTTAAGGGCCCTCACAAGGCGTGGATTTTTTAAAGAATATTTTTAAGGGCCCTCACAAGGCGTGGATTTTTTAAAGAATATTTTTAAGGGCCCTCACAAGGCGTGGATTTTTTAAAGAATATTTTTAAGGGCCCTCACAAGGCGTGGATTTTTTAAAGAATATTTTTAAGGGCCCTCACAAGGCGTGGATTTTTTAAAGAATATTTTTAAGGGCCCTCACAAGGCGTGGATTTTTTAAAGAATATTTTTAAGGGCCCTCACAAGGCGTGGATTTTTTAAAGAATATTTTTAAGGGCCCTCACAAGGCGTGGATTTTTTAAAGAATATTTTTAAGGGCCCTCACAAGGCGTGGATTTTTTAAAGAATATTTTTAAGGGCCCTCACAAGGCGTGGATTTTTTAAAGAATATTTTTAAGGGCCCTCACAAGGCGTGGATTTTTTAAAGAATATTTTTAAGGGCCCTCACAAGGCGTGGATTTTTTAAAGAATATTTTTAAGGGCCCTCACAAGGCGTGGATTTTTTAAAGAATATTTTTTTCACAAGGCGTGGATTTTTTAAAGAATATTTTTAAGGGCCCTCACGTGGATTTTTTAAAGAATATTTTTAAGGCGAGGGCCCTCACAAGGCGTGGATTTTTTAAAGAATATTTTTAAGGGCCCTCACAAGGCGTGGATTTTTTAAAGAATATTTTTAAGGGCCCTCACAAGGCGTGGATTTTTTAAAGAATATTTTTAAGGGCCCTCACAAGGCGTGGATTTTTTAAAGAATATTTTTAAGGGCCTACCATAAGGCGTGGATTTTTTAAAGAATATTTTTAAGGGCCCTCACAAGGCGTGGATTTTTTAAAGAATATTTTTAAGGGCCCTCACAAGGCGTGGATTTTTTAAAGAATATTTTTAAGGGCCCTCACAAGGCGTGGATTTTTTAAAGAATATTTTTAAGGGCCCTCATAAGGCGTGGATTTTTTAAAAAATATTTTTAAGGGCCCTCACAAGGCGTGGATTTTTTAAAGAATATTTTTAAGGGCCCTCACAAGGCGTGGATTTTTTAAAGAATATTTTTAAGGGCCCTCACAAGGCGTGGATTTTTTAAAGAATATTTTTAAATACCCAAAAGAAGGCCTTAACTTTTTAAAGACTATTTTCAAATACCCAAAAGAAGGCCTTAACTTTTTAAAGACTATTTTCAAATACCCAAAAAGGGCTTACATTTCTAAATACTATTTTGAAATACCCAAATAGAGGGCTTACATTTCTAAAGACTATTTTGAAATACCCAAAAAGAGGGCTTACATTTCTAAAGACTATTTTGAAATACCCAAAAAGAGGGCTTACATTTCTAAAGACTACTTTGAAATACCCAAAAAGAGGGCTAAAATTTTAAAATAATATATTTCAAGATTTTTTTAAAGACTCAAGACAAGACGTGGATTTTTTAGAGAATATTTTTTCAAGGCGTGGATTTCCTAGAGAATATTTTTTCAAGGCGTGGATTTCCTAGAGAATATTTCCTAAAGAAGGAAATAAGATTGGATTTTAAAGAGTATTTTCCAAGGCAGAAAATAAGATTGGATTTTAAAGAATATTTACCAAGGCAGAAAATAAGATTGGATTTTTAAAGAATACTTTTCCAGGGAACAACACAAGTCGACGATTTTTAAATAATATATTTCCAGGAACCAAAATATGAGTGGTTTTTTAAGGTTAATTTTTGTTTGGACCACCACATTTGCAGATTCACACTTACCACTTTTTCCTTTTCCTTAACATAGGACGTAATTAAATCATGCAAAAAGAAGAAGGCATCAGCATCCACGGTAACGAAAATGTGGTCATCAAATTCTGTTGTGAAACTGCAGATAACCTCAGGTTTAATATCTGAAAAGGAAGAAGAAACAATGAACCCTATGTCATTAAAAGTAATTTATGATTAGGAAATTACCTGATGGCTGGGGTGTTGATGGGCCCTGTTTATGTTCCGTTCTAAAATGTAAATGTAAACTCGGTAAGGCAAAGATGACTTCTCGGTCTTGAGATTTGGTCGAACTGGCTGTACTGGAGGCAGCCGATCTGGCACGTTCTATTGAGTTAGAAGCAATTTCACGATCGTATTCCAAAATGGGGAAACGATCAACGGCTGCAAGAAATAAAAAAAATATATTTTTTAATTGGAACTCAAAATAAATAGATTCGAACATACCATCAATTTCACTATTGGCAAATGCATAATGGAACCATTCATTCAGTGTCTTGAACTGTGGTGGAAATACAATATTTCTCGAGATACGACTGACAATGGCCATTGAATGATTTTGTTGTTGACCCTCTTCGTTGGATTGGCCCAAACATGACGTCAGCGTTTGTGTGACAAACACTTCCCGTGTCTCCGCATCCTGATACGCTTCTGTGGTGAAATTAATAAATGGTGATTTTAAACTAAATAAGGCCCATGATTTCGATTTGAAATTAATGCCATGGAAACAGGCCAATGAAATATTGTTGCCGTGTAATTTAACCGAACCACCTAAAACATTGCCATTGCGTGGTAGGCGTGTAACCAATGTGGGCACTACCAATCCAGCAACCATTTCCAATGGTTTTTGCCAATGTCGATGATGTCGAGCGTCAGTGTTACTTATGTCTGGACCTAGATTTTCACCACCACTCATTTTTTTCTTCATATTTGCTCGGCGCTTCATGCTGGCATTGCGTTCGTGCAGTCGCGGCTCGAGACTGGAAAATACACGTTTCGACGATTTAAATTGTTGCGTAAAGAATTCTTCCAATTTGTAGTACATTTTCAGCAGATCGGCAGTTGTTGATTTGGAAATCATGATTTGTAACTGGAAAGGAGAGTGGATTTTAAAAATATTTTTATAAACCTTCACAAGTTATTTATTTCATGAACCCTCACAAAGCTGAAAACAATATATATTTTTAAGGACCCTCATAAAGGGTGGATTTTTTAAGGACTATAAAAAGTCGTGGATTTTTGGAAAAATATATTTTAAGGACTACTAAAATGCGTGGATTTTTTAAGGACTATTAAAAGTCGTGGATTTGTTTAATATATCTCAAACTCACCTGATCCCACGATAAATCTCCATGAACAAATATAATGGCCTTCGGTGCCGAATTGTCATATTTCGTTTCTTCAGCCTTGCCAGCATTGAGTAGCGTGGTTTTCCATTCATCTTTCATGGCAGCTGAGAATGAGCTGATTCTCGTCATTAGTACCGATGTACCCATATAATCCAGACGCAATTCCAATGCCATAAAACTCAAACGTATGGTGTGACATGGTTCCACACCGGACTCTTCTTTAATATGGAAACGATTATTGATTTTATTTACTTCAAAACTACCACCAACAATGCCACCCTTGGCATCCAACGATGAACCACCCAAATAAATGCCAATATACATATTCTTGTAGCCTGTACTACCGATCGATAGACGACCATCAGATTGGAAATCTTTTGTCAACCACACCACGTTACCCATAACATTGCCCATATTCATTTGGACATTGAGTTTGGTGAAATTCACCGCGAACAGTACCAACGTTTCCCAGGCGGTGATTTGATTCTTTTCCGAGGGTGGTGTGCTGGACGACTCATTACTTGATGATTTACCCAGGGACTTGAGTTTACGTATGGCACCCGTCGACGAAGTGGGTGTATCGAAATTCAATTTCATTTTATCACGTGCATAGAAGCCAGATGAATCTCCGGGCGATTTGTCGGGGGTTTTGGTTCGTTGAAAATCTTTGGGCGTCGTAGGTGTATGATCACCACCAGCACTTTCGGTACTGGTTTGTTGTACACTTAAATCACCCAAGAACAGACGTCTTACAATACGTCGCCTGTACCAGGCCTTGGGGAATGCCAATATCTCCGTTAGACGTCGCATATCATATTTGAAAGAGGCACTGCCTATATCAACAATGGTTGAGAATCTTACCACAGCCTTTGACTGATCCAACGACCTTTTCGATGAAGCAGATGGTTCTATGTACACCTTACGGCATCGGGTGATGTGGAATTTAACGAATTCCACATTAATGCTCAGCGAATCTTTTCGCTCCGAATCGGTAAGAGGTGAAAATTGAGCTTCCTTGATGTTGGTTTTCTTGCCACCATATGGATGGAAAATGAACACATTGAAGTCGGCCAAACAGCCGGTGACACTAAGACCTCCCTGGGGTGTCTTGTCTTTATCTTTCTCCGAGCTGGAAGTTCCTGCAGCACCTCCTCCCGCTGAACTTGTTGGTATATTTGTTGACTCAAATGGATTCTGTTGATTATCTTCATCGGCTGATCGCTTTGAAGAGAACACAATATCCAAGCTGGGCAATTGCAACATACATTCCACTCGAGACACGGGTAGGCATGAGAACCTAAATGTAGATGGTTGCATGTGGAAGTAGACAATGACATCCACGGGGAATGAGGCATATTGCACATAATTGGCTGGTAGGATATCCAAATTGACAGCATTATTTGATGGTGTCTGTGAACCACTACTCTGTTCAGCCTTTGTGGGTATGGGTTCGAGAGTTTGTTCCAAGAACTCCAAAATATGTGGTGAAATTATTGTTTCCTCGGGTATTGACTGCAAAGTCATCCAGGCAAACAGTGAGGCCCGTTTGGTGCTCATCCTTCTCGTGGATCCTGACATCATTGATTGATGACTATCTGTGCTGGCCATGCGTGCAGACTCCGTCATATTGGGCTCCACTGTCCTTGATTGGTAATGTAACTTCACATCCAACCCCGGTATATGGAATATGGTGAGATCCGTCAACATGGCAGCCGAGGAGGGATTATAACGTAACTTGCTTTTATCCCTTTGCCTGCGTGATGGTGTTGGACTACCCCAATCATAACCCACACTCCTCTCACGTTTGTGAGTCTTGACTGTGGTTGGTCCAGAAATGCAAAATCTATCTTCCGACGTCTCCTTGGTGTGCAAAACACATTTTCCCGAATTAACCAGCACCTTGATGTCCAGTTCAAAATCTACATTCGGCTCTTGTTGTTTTTGTTGATACTGATGCTTGCGTCGCATTTCCACAGATGTACCATCAATATCGATCTCACTGGGTGGTGTGTCGGTATGAACATCCTGTGAATTTGTACTCTGGGGCTCATCATCACTATCGGCATTGGGCAGAGATGTCTGCCGCATTGTTTCTGAAAAAGTTACACGATTTGTTCCGGATGTCTTCAAGGAAGCACTTCTCGAATGACACGAAGCTGGGGTAGATTGTAAACTTGATATTTCATCATTGGAGGCAATGGGATCCAATCTCCTTCCGGAATATGTTGCCAAGCCATCATCAATATGATGACTATGAGAACCACCCATAAACGATATGGATCTCTGCGATGTTTTCATACTCCGCCGCATGGAGGGCCGCTTCCATTTCTGTATCATATCCCTTCTAAAGAATTTATAACAAATTGCCTGCAACTCCTGCAGTCTACGCTCCTCATGGGCAATGGTATTGTGAGTGGCGCCCAACGTACGCAAATCATTAATTATCTTCAACTGTTCGGCCATTTCTTTTTCCATCATAAATGAACGCTTCTTCGAATCAATGGTAGGATCAAAAACAAACGGTGGTAGATTCTCAAATTCTCTACGACGTCCAAAGGTATCACGCTGAGATTTATCTTCATCTTCACTGTCGGGTGAATCCAAATTTGTTTCTTCCTCTTCGAAACCGCTTAACATGGTTAGGGTATGACCCAAAGACGACAGCTGTTTGCCAATATTTATATCCAAATGGATATCGACACCTTCCATTTGCCATTTCACATTCAACAGCCATTTGGCATTTTCCATTTTTTTCGCCGCCGTTGTACGAGAACATACCTCATAGGTACCCTCGGACACCACACAGACATTCATAATTGGTTCACTGGGATTTGGCTTCCAATCGTCGAGTGTGGTTTCAAAATCGTCAGCAAATCGCAAACATAAACCTTGGAATTTTCCCTTCGACACTAAAGAACCGGAATTACAGGCTGATATAATTGTATTTTCCAGCGTAATGACCACTGCACCTTTGGGTTCAAAATCTTGATAGGATCTTGTACCCCAGGACTGGACAGAGGGGAGAAAAACATGAAAAAGAAAATGGAATTAATTCAGGGGTATTTAAAGAATATTTTTAAGGCCCATACTAGGCGTGGATGTTTTAAAGAATATGATTTCAAAATCCTTACAAGGCTTAGATTTTTTAAAGAACATTTTTAAGAACCTTCACAAGGCGATTTTTTAAAGTATATTTTTTAAAAACTTTCATAAGGCTATTTTTTAAAGAATGTTTTTTCAAGGCCCATACAAGGCGTGGATTCTCAGGACCAAATGTCCTTCTTGTAGAATACCGGTAGGACTTCCTAAGGTCAAAAACCAAAATGGAAGACCAATCCGAACGCCTTCTTATAGAAAAAATAATTTCCTTTTTGTCTTCTAAAAGAAGATCTTTTGATGTTCTATAAGATCATCTGGTTTACTTTAACATGTCTTCAATTAGAAGATCTTCTTGTTTTCTATAAGGAGACCTCTGTTCTTCTCACAAAACAAGGTATTATTATCATTTCAATTTTATACTTACATTAGCCACCGGATTTAAGGGCAGACAAATGCCCATATCCTCCACAGTTAACTGCAGGAACAATGTTGACAAATTCGAGCCAGCAATGTTGCTAAATTGATTAAATGCCACCCGATCGAAGACCTGCTACAAAATAAATAACGAATATAATACAAAATTTAAAATTTCCCATAAATCTCATTTTCGCACTCTACCCACCTGTTGCGATTGTTGTTGGGCATTTTCATAATTCAAATTGGCCCGCTTCTCAGCCCAATATTCATAGGCATTCTTATAATTCAACCACACTAATATGGCCTTATCAACAGCTATCGGCTGAATGTATACCAAAGGACGTTTTAACGTTAGTAGGATCAATTCTTTATCCTCGTTAAGTAATTCATCTTGGAATGCATTACGTAAACCGATAGTTGTGTGAAAAAACGCATATTGTTGAAATTCCGGTTCGGCCTCATCGAATATAACATTTCGTATCAATTGACCGAGTGATAGATTGAAATCGATATGCGCCTTACCGAACATTTTACGATCGTTACCTTCGCCGAGATTTTTAACCCGATTCGATAGATGCAATTCAAGGGTGCCCGTTTCAAAGCGTACCGCTGAATTGCACGGTGTGGTGGCCGTCAATTGTATACGTTTCATGGAAATGTTCAGGGAGAAGAGAATGCGTTTGAGACTAGACTCTTGAACACTGCCACTATCACTGTCCTCGGACCAAAGGGGTACCGGTTTTTCGCCACCATACACTTTTTGCAGAACTTCGTTGATTTCGCGCATAAACACCTTTTGTACGAATACCAAATGATTGAGTAAGTCGGTGGTCAGGCATCTTTCAAATTCGCCAATTTCAGCAGAGGCATTAACATAGCCGCCTTGTCTGAGGATCACACCTTCGACACGTTCGTTTTCTTCCTGGCGATGTTCGGGTATATATTCAGCACTTACATGGACCGGTGGCAGGGCGATGCAGGCCTCGGATGGTAAATTCATTTCATTCTAAAAAAAACACCAAAAATGAGGCACATAAAGATTAGCATTCCACGTTCGGTTGGGTATCATAAACACTCACCCTCACCTGAATTTTAGTATTAAAACTCAGTGTATGTGTCGGCAGATCAATAACGAACTTGGCACGATTACCCGACACACCAGTCGAACTAACATGATTCATACGATATTGAGCCTGCAGTGATGGCAGTAGGGCAGCATTAATTGACAGCGATTGCAGCAGAACATTAAATTGCATAACCAAGGGTTGCAATAGGCCATTTTGTTGAGGTTGCGAACGTGTCTGAGTATTATATTTACGACTATGTGGTTGTGGTTTTTCTTTGGCATCCATATTTGACCCAGAGTTACGTGAATGAAATGGTGATTCGGGTTCATCTAAATTATGTGATCGTGATGCGGTACGTCCGGAGTTGCGGCCTACGCGCAGCTCTTGTAGGGTCGATGATAGTTGTTTTGAGGAGCGTGTCATCATGCCGTGTAATGCCACCGGATGTTGGGGTATTTCAATATTAACTGGACCAATTGAGAGCAGGCCGGAATTCTTATCGCGGCCTCGTTTTGTAAGGCTTGAGTAGAGGGTTTGACTTTTACCCACTGTCACTTTAACAACCGTTCTAAAGGGAAGATGGGAAATAGAGAGGGAAAAGAAAATTAATTTAGTTTCAATCGGTTAATGGAGGGCTTAAGAGGGTTATTTATTTAGAAGAGCTTCGGAACCTTCTATTGGCCACTATCTATTGTTTTTAGGAAGAATATTACAACACCTTCAGGTTTTATACAGGAAACCTTTTTCCAAAAGGCCCAAAATAGTTGTGGATTTGTTAAAGAATATTTTTCGAGGCCTATAAAAAGGCGTAGTTTTTTTAAAGAATATTTTCGAGACCCATTTAAATTCGTAGATTTTTTAAAAAATATTTTTTTGGGGTATATTAAAATGAGTAGATTTTTTTCAGAATATTTTTCTTTGAGAAGACGACCTCCTGCTCTTCTATGAGAAGACCTTTTGACCTTCAATGAGTACCCTTTGTGTTCTTCTATGCGAACAGCTTCTGATCATTTATTAGTCAATCTTCCGGCAATATTTCCAAATTCTACCCAAAAAAATACTTACTGTTGATTGGGCGCCACACCTTCCAGCAGCACAATCATGGCCCTACCAACCTGTCCGGTGAGAGAACATTCCAACGATACAGGTCTTGCCTTTTTACGCCATGTGGCAGAACCATTTAATGTTGTTATTTCCGCCTCCAATTTAAGACCACTCAATGTGGCCAGCAGGCGGGTCTTATGTATCTTCGCCACCCCAAATACAATCAATCGGGTCTTCTCCTGTGAAATGCTATCAAAGATTTCTTTATGTTGTGGCAGTGGTGTTGGTGCACTTGTCAAATCATCATCATCGTTTCTTGTATCCTGCCTCATATAACTACCACCTCCAAATGGTTTCTTTTCATTTGTCAAAGAAATTCGCTGTTGTACAGTTTTAGTTTCCGGCATCGTGCCATATAATTCCAATAAATGAAAGATGGTTTTCCAACAATTGGGTGTGTCTAGCATGGGTGGTATTATGGCAGTGAAACCATTTTTAGTTATTGTATTGTAGTCACCACTAACACTGGTCGCACAGGCGCCAGCTCCATTCAGGGAGGCTTTCGATTCCAGCGATAGCTTGAACATATGATGTTCGGACACTGATGTTGTTGGGCTATCACGTAACGGTGATGATGATGACTCATTAAGATTGGTATAGCCCAATTTGCCTTTGACGGATTTTCCTGTGGACCGAAGTTTTTGGGCAAATGACTGTGGACGATTTTTGGCGCTTGGTGAGGGTGTCAGCTGTATCAAAGGGCGCATTTTGTTTCCCGATGTATGAGTCATGGTGACCATTTCATTGAATTTATCATAACGCTCATCCGACGAATTTTCATTATGATTAAAACGATCCGAGACCGAACCAAATGGCATAATGTCATTAGGCTCAGAAGCTAGAAGAAGAAGAAGAAGAAGAAGAAGAAGAAGAAAAGGAAAATTTATTACTTATAAAATCTTGTCTGGAGGATGACCTGCAACTTACCCAAACTGTATTCATCTTTGTGATTCGATTTTTTACTCATATCCGGTTGATCATGGAATTCATTTTGGGCATCCTTGACATTTTGATACATATTGGTTATCTGATGCAGCAGACGCAATAAAGGCATGTTGACCTAGATACAAAAAATAAATATTAATACAAATATTGGATTCCAATTCCATTTGAGTGACCTCCTCTCCCACTTACCTGTTGCGAAATAAATCGTATATTTATACTGAAATTAATCACAGTGCTGGTGTGTTTCTTCATCTGCCGCCTTGACATATAGATGACATTTTGTCTGGCCGTATCAACCATACCATCGGACATTTTCAGTACTTCCAATTCAATACCAACACGTTCACACAAAAACAGTGGGGTATCCATCATTATGGTTGGCCGACCATTGGCTTTTTTACTTGGTAATTTTGTTGTCTTCGCTTTGTTTTTATCGCCGGCCTCTGAGACCACTATATCAACGCGAATCGAATCAAATGTGCCAATCAACGAGAGATTTGTACCAAAGTTTTCCAATGATGAAATATCTAGAAATAAATAAATAAAAGATTTTCAATTCACTTTCAAATAAAAAACAATTAAAAATAAAAAAGAAATATTTGGATTTTTTAAAGAGTATTTTTTCGAGGCCTATATTTAGGCGTGGATTTATTTATAAAATATATTTCAAGGCCTATAGTTAGGCGTGGATTATTTAAAAAATATTTTTCGAGGTCTATAGTTAGGCGTGGATTATTTAAAGAATATTTTTCGAGCTCTAGGAACCTCTAGAAGCCTCTCAATTAGGCGTGGATTATTTAAAGAATATTTTTCGAGCCTCTAGGAACCTCTCAATTAGGCGTGGATTATTTAAAGAATATTTAGGCGTGGATTATTTTAAAGAATATTTTTCGAGGTCTATAGTTAGGCGTGGATTATTTTAAAGAATATTTTTCGAGGCCTATAGTTAGGCGTGGATTATTTAAAGAATATTTTTCGAGGCCTATAGTTGGGCGTAGATTATTTAAAGAATATTTTTCGAGGTCTATAGTTAGGCGTGGATTATTTTAAAGAATATTTTAAAAGGCCTATAGTAGGGAGTGGATTATTTAAAGAATATTTTTCAAGGCCTATTTCCCAATGGATTTTTTCAAGACCACCATGAATGTGAATTCTTAAAGAATATTTATTTACAAGGACCTACATTGAGGTCCGTGGATTTTTTAAAAGAGCATTTAAAAAAAAAAAAACAATATTTTGATTTTACACAACTTACCCGTATTGGAAAACTTATTGATCATTTGTTGTGGCATAACGCCCAGGCATGTTAGCAAGGGTTCAAAAATCAAATGTGCATCCAGCAACGTTATAGAATCTTGCATAATTCCTGAACGCAATGGAACATTTCCGGGAATTTTGTTAACCGGTGTTGGGCGAAGAATTTCCTTTTCGGCAAATGCTTCCTTTTTCTTATTCTCTTGTTGTTTGGCCATCCAAAAGTATAAATCCTCCTTATGGTTGTCCGAAGAACTTAACCAAAATTTATTTACCGAATTTGTCGAGCTGATCGAACCCTCTTGTAGGGCACCATATTCTAAAGGAGAAAGAAAAAAGAAATAATTAAAGTAATTTTTTTTTTAATTGGATACTTTTATTGAACTTGACTTACCAATTTCCGCTGCCTGTTTATCAACTAAGCCCGATATAATGGGTAACATTTGTATGCTGGAACGGGAAGAATTGCCATGTGAATAGGTTGAACCTTTTGTTAAACTTTTCCTATTTATTTTGTTTATTATTTAATTTTGTATAGCGAATATATTCGGTTTTGGATATTTACAATTTGCAGACATTATTTTGAATAAACATAAATACAAAACAAGAAAAGGAAGGACACAATATACAATATAGATCACACAAAAAATATATAAGAATATATATAATTAAAAAAAAAAAACAAAGATATGTATATTTCTTAAAAATTTCAAGTTAATATTTATTTACATAGGTATAATTATTAGTGTTTAGTAAACTTACCCTCTCCTTGACAGATGAATATTTGGTGAGGTCGATGTTGAACGTTGTGATCCATGCAGTACACCATCTGTTGAATAGCCCATACCAAATTGATTGGAATCTATATATATTAAGGAAAATTTATTTAGTTGACTATTCATTGCCAAATTTAATTCCTGTTCTGTGTGGTTTGGTGCTATAAATATGGTTATGAATTTATTTTTGAGTGTGGTACAGTGCACTGTAACTAACACACAATCAACTATATTTTGTGAATTTGGAATGGATTTTTTAAAGAATATTTTTTCAAGTACCTCTAAGGGCGTGGATTTTTTGAAGAATATTTTTTCAAGCACCTCCAGAGACGTGGATTTTTTTAACAATATTTTATTCAAGCCCCTTCAGAGGCGTGGATTTTTTAAAGAATATTTTTTCAAGTACCTCCTAAGGCATGGATTTTTTAAAGAATATTTTTTTAAATTACCTCCAAAGGCGTGGATTTATTAAAAGATATTTTTTTCAATTACCTCCAAAGGCGTGGATTTTTTAAAGAATATTTTTTTCAATTACCTCCAAAGGCGTGGATTTTTTTTAAAATTTTTTTTTTCAATTACCTCCAAAGGCGTGGATTTTTTAAAAAATTTTTTTTTCAATTACCTCCAAAGGCGTGGATTTTTTAAAAAAATATTTTTTCAATTACCTCCAAATTCGTGGATTTTTTAAAAAAATATTTTTTTCAATTACCTCCAAAGGTGTGGATTTTTTAAAAAAAATATTTTTTTCAATTACCTCCAAAGGCGTGGATTTTTTAAAAAAATATTTTTTTTCAATTACCTCCAAAGGCGAGGATTTTTAAAAAAATATTTTTTTTTTTCAATTACCTACAAAGGCGTGGATTTTTTAAAAAAGAATATTTTTTCAATTACCTCCAAAGGCGTGGATTTTTTAAAAAAATATTTTTTTCAATTACCTCCAAAGGCGTGGATTTTTTAAAAAATATTTTTTTCAATTACCTCCCAAGGCGTGGATTTTTTAAAAAAAATATTTTTTTCAATTACCTCCAAAGGCATGGATTTTTTAAAAAAATATTTTTTTAAGCACCCAGCCATACAAGGCGTGGATTTTTTAAAAAAATATTTTTTGGGAGGGCTTAATTGAGGCGTGGATTTTTTAAAAAATATTTTTTGGGAGGGCTTAATTGAGGCGTGGATTTTTTAAAAAATATTTTTTTCAATTACCTCCAAAGGCGTGGATTTTTAAAGAATATTTTTTCAAGCTCACAAAAATTCTTAAAAAGACATTTTTGGGGTTTTTAAGAATTTTTCAATTCACAAAATATTGTTATATAAACTGTGTGTATTTTTTCTAGCTAATATGAGACACATATTTATAACAACCAACCTTTTGTTTTTTCTTGTTCAAATAATAAAATATTACGAAAGTTAAAGAAATATTATATAGAAAAAATAGGAAACAATATTATTTATAGCAAAATAAAGTACAGACACAATTGTTGCAGTGTTGTTGTTGTTGTTGTGCTAGCATTTCAGCTTAAGATTTCCAAAGCCACCAAATTCACCATATCCATAACAAATATCTTACCAGATAATACAAGTATACATATATATATATATATAGACACACACTCTAATACTTACTATAATAGATAAAACTTATTTAGGAAAAAGGAAATGAACATTTATTGAGAGAGAATAATAGCACACATATATACACTGACAATATGGACATTGGGTGCAAAAGGCCAAATCAAGAGCGTTATGGTGCATAACACACACACATTTATACAGACACATACATATAGCATATGAAAAAATGGCTTTAATGATAACCAAGCAAACCTTGAACTGAAATGCTTTTTTCGAAAAAAGGAAAAAAATAAATGATTTGAGATTTTAAAGCAAATTAAAATTAAAATTTAGACACTCGTTGCTCCAGCGTGTGTTTGTGAGAGTTGTAGAGCAACGAAACTCAAAATATCCAAAAAAGGCATTAAGAAAAAAAAGGAAAATAAAAAAACAAATAAAATTTTGGGTTAAAAAACAAGGGAAATATTTTGAACAATTAAAAAAGAAAACTAAAAAACATCTTTAAAATTTTAGGATTTTGTTTTCTTTTTTGCTTAGTAGAAGGAAACATTCATTACAATAAAAAAATCAATTAATGCAATTCAACGGTGACCGACCACAAATTCAATAGAAAAGGGTTAAAGAAATTTTCTAGTTTTTTTCGTAGTTGTTCAAAATGAAACAAAGCGTTAATCAAAAAAATACCAATATGAGTTCGATGATGCTGTGTTTGCCCAAGTAATAAAGCATTCTCACTCTCTTCAGGATTGTCTCCAACACCAGCATATGCACCTAAATCATTATCACCTTCACATTCGGGATCTTCGCATTCCTCTTCGTTTTGTGGAAACGAAAAGGTAACGTTTATCGGACGCGTTAATTTATTTTTATATTGATGTTCGAACAATATGGGATTGTAGAGTGAATTTTTCCATTGGCGACTGAGAACAATAATGCCCTGCAAAATATGATCAAAAAATTACAGTTAGTGATGGAATAAGAAAAGGCGTGGATTTTTTAAAGATTTTTTTTCAAGGCACAAGACAAGGCGTGGATTTTTTAACGAATATTTTTTTAAGGCGTAAGACCAGGCGTGGATTTTTTAAAGAATATTTTTCAAGGCCCAAGACAAGGCGTGGATTTTTTAAAGAATATTTTTTCAAGGCCCAAGACAAGGCGTGGATTTTTTAAAGAATATTTTTTCAAGGCCCAAGACAAGGCGTGGATTTTTTAAAGAATATTTATTCAAGGCACAAGACAAGGCGTGGATTTTTTAACGAATATTTTTTCAAGGCACAAGACAAGGCGTGGATTTTTTAACGAATATTTTTTCAAGGCGTAAGACTAGGCATGGATTTTTTAAAGAATATAATAAATAATCCTTTTAGTGTGGGTATTGAATGTTTTCCATGTAATGAAGCTCTTTGTAACTACTTTTTCCTTACATACCTGTCTCAGAGTATTAAGATGTGGTACATCACCCTGTTTGAATATCCGCTCCACCTTTTGGACACCTTCATCGAGAACCAATTTTTGCATAATAAAACATAATTGACAACTGGGATCCTCTTGTAAAGTTTTCGACAACAAGGTGTAGTTATTGGCATAACGACTCTGGAAAATGTAAGAGAACACATATTAAAAAAAAATATTCAATAACTGTTGGATTTAATTCTCACCTTCTTAATTTTCGGATTCCTTTGTATCTTCTCATTTTCCAGCGCATCAGCCATTAGACAAGCAGCCACCGATGTTTGTCGCGTATGCAAAGCCTTGAGTAGAGCAACAATTTTAATTGCCAATCGATTGCTGGGATTCATCCATGCCGTAATGGCTGGTGAGGCTGTACTCAATAGATTCCAATCCAGGCGAGTCAAATCAATTTTACGTGTTATGGGCACACAAGGGGGCGCGGCAAAATTCAACCATACCGATTTCAATTCAATAACACACGACGATGTCTTATCCGTTTCCTTATTGGCAACTTTATCAAAACCTTCAGGTTTTCCTTTTGTTTGACTACTGCTGGTCTTTCCCTTTTCCACATCGTCGTCCATGTGTGTGGGTGGTGGTGCTGGTTTTGGCATCGATTTACGAGTATCATTTAAATTCTCAGTTCGTTCGGTTACAATGATATTCTCCAAGGCTGTTTGGAATTTTTCTTTGGGTGTTTTTGGTGTTGGCGGTTTTTTCGTTAACATACGCCATGCGGCCTCTGCTCGCGATGTTGTGGACACATCAATTTGTGGATTATTTGCCGCCGCCGCCGTTGTGGTATTCGTTACATTTTCCACCAAATCATTGAGTACACCATCCTCGGCCATTTCAGCCAATTCCTCTTTGGAATTTTCAGACTTTTCGAAATGGGAACGTTTAACGATTTTTACACCCACACCTTCAAGGCCACACTCGAACATTATATAACCAATACTATCAACTCCTGTGTTGTCGGTCATTTTGAGGCATTCAAATAGAACTTTACTCTTAGGTTCTGGTATGGCTGTGACCATAATGGGAGATTCTTGACCGGTGGTACTTTCGGTTTTTAGGCGTCGCAGCTGGGCATGTGCTCGTCCCACATCGAGGGTAATAACAAGTTCTTCCAATTGTTTTTCCGAGGTTTCGATCAATATCGGTTCACCTTGTACATTGTCGGGACGTGATTGGGATGATAGGTGAGCTAGGAGGGCTCGGGTACCCTTCATTATACCACCTTTTTTGTGACTATTCGATTGCACCGTCTGTTGGATGTAAACATTGTGCATTGAGGCTCGTGTTGTTTTGCCCAAATGGAATTTTGTTGACACACCTTCGATGTAGAAGGTTAGCAGCGATACACAACTGAGGTCCTGGAAATATAAGAAATTGTTTAAAAAAATGATATTCAAAAAATATTTTGTAAGACCTGTAGAAGAATTAATTTTTTAAAGGCCTATACGAGGCGCGGACTTTTTAAAGAACATTTTTTAAGGCATGTAAGAGGCGGGGATTTTTAAAGAACACTTTTTAAGGCATGTAAGAGGCGGGGATTTTTAAAGAACACTTTTTAAGGCCTGTAAGAGGAGTGGATTTTTTAAAGAAAAAATTTTAAGGCCTGTAAGAGGAGTGGATTTTTTAAAGAAAAAATTTTAAGGCCTGTAAGAGGCGTGGATTTTTTTAAGAATATTAAATGTTTCACTTACCTGTACATTATCCAATGCTGCCACCGATATAACCTCTTCGATTATGGATGATTGCAACATTGTTATGCTGACTTTCGGTAATACAATTAATCCTTGTGTTTTTGTCGATATACTTTCTTCGTAGACATCACTGAGGAATGAGTCACCAGGACCTAAGAGATTTCGTTCGGTTGTGGAACGTTTCGAATTTGAATGTACCTGAGACCAATAACTCAAAGATTGATCACGTTTCAAAATATTGTCGTTTTTCACTTTAGCTATACACGACGAGTGTATATAGTTGACTACGGTTAATAGGTGCATATTTGAAAATGTCGGTATTGCTGCTTCGACCATTCTGAAAACAAAATAATTAAAAATAAGTCAGTAATTGTCAAAAAAAGAAACAAAAAAGGAAAAATATATCAATAAATATAGGTTTTCAAAATAGTTTAATTTTTATTATTCTTCTGTTTGACTTTCTGCAGATAATATTGGCGATTTCGGTACATTTTTTGTAATTATTTTCAATTCTAAATATTCATTAGAAAATCCTGAAACATATATCATTTATTTTCTTTGTAGGCCTTGCTGACCGACAATCTATCCGATGAAGAATTAAAACAGGGTTTAGGTGATCTATCCCTCAACGATTTGAGAATTCTAAATATACTAATCGGTACTGAGAACCATATGTATGATGACTATGATCTTGAGAGGTATGATGGGAGGATTTCCAGGGATTATCAATCGCCGTGGATTTTTTAGGGATCTTTGAGGGACTATCTCGCTTTTTTCATTGCAGTTTCTCAAAAGAAGGTGAAGAATCCCAAGACAAAGATGAAGAGAACCTGGACAATAACTCGTTCAATAATGATATGAATTATGAAACCGATTCTAACTCCCCATATGAAAGGGATAATCAATATCTTCGATCAAAAAGAGATCTGGTAAGTCTTTACTTGAACAATTTTAATTTCTTCCTTTCAAAAAATATCCCTCCCAAACAGCTTAACCCGAACGAAGCATACATTCAACAATTACAGGAATCCTTTCCCCGTGATACCGGCGAATCGGAAGATTATGATGATATGTATCTAAATAATTTTCCCATCCTTAAGGAACTTGTACGAGTTAAAAGAAATTAATTAAAAAAAATCAACTTCACTTACCTCTGTAATCCTTCCAACAATAAAGGCGTTAAGAACACATTAACCTGTCCCTTGAGACGGGCCACAACCGATGTACATGCCGCACCCTCTGCCTGCAGACTCATAAACTCGCCATCATCAAATCCATTGGTAGATTTATCACTTTCCTCCTCTTTCAGGAGGACACTAGGATCCCATGGATGTGACTTGGGGCCGCCCATAAATGTTGCCGAACTATTACTACCCGTTGTGTTTTCATAACGTGGCACAACTTTTATTTCTCTCCACGAGGAGTATAAATCAAAATGTGGTACCATTTTACTGCCAATATAGGTTAGGCCCCCGTTTTCATTTTCATGAAAGAGTGGCGTAGAGAAGACATCCAAACCCGATGGAAATGAGCATGTTGTCCAATTGAAACATTTCACTTGGGACAAATGATTCAAATAACTGGCCATGAGGAGAGGTGAATCAATGATTGGGCGATTCACCTGTTGATGTAAATTGACAAGGGCCACATCTTCCTGGGATGACATTGCCGAGATGAAGGAGTTCGACGATAAGGAGGGTGTACCGGATGATGAGGCACGAGAATCCACCTGTTGGCGATGTTGATTTTTTTGTGTGTGATAAAAATGGAAAAGAAAAATAAAAAAGACAAATATGTTAATAAAATGTTTCAAAATTGTTAATAAGCATTTTTGGTGCAAACATTTCGTTTTTTTTTTCATTTCGCTATATCTAAAATAATGATGCAGAGACATTCTTAAACTTAAGATTACAATATAATAAAATGATGAATAAAAGTAAAACATTAAAATTTCGAGTAGAGAGTCTTCTCTAAAATCGTGGAACATTTCTTTTAGTCAGAACTTGTTGCGACGATTTCCGATGTTTTATTCCATTTTTTAAGGAATATTTTTCAAGGACTAATAGAGGTGTGGATTTTTAAAAAATATTTTTTCAAGGCCAATACAAGGCATGGATTTTTTAAAGAATATTTTTCAAGGACTCATAGAGGGCGGCGTATACCAAGCAACGGCTCTGATTGGCTTTAACATGGCGAAGTCCAGTCTTATCTTGGTCCCTCTTTCATCTCAGTTATGGACACTGTCTTTGGGTTTACTAGTCCCGGATCGTGGATCGAAACTAGTAGGGCCACCATTCCCGAACTTTGTAGGCTTGTGGAATGATCATTGGGTCAGGATGGAGACGGTGTGGGAATTAGCATCGAGAGGTGTTGGTTTTTGCATCTGTTTTCATCCTCTCTTTGTGGTCATTCCATTGTGGAGAGCCTGCAGTTACAAGTTCAAATGGTAGTAGCTTCGGCTACGAAAACGCGCAGAGTTTAGTCTGTGGGGGACCATTCCCGGACTAGCAGGCTTGTGGAATAATTGTTGGGAGGGGTGAGATGCATGGTGGCTACCAATATCGTGTGATGTTGGTGGCCACTTTTGCATTGTATCCCCTTTCAGCAATTGTTTCATTGTAGAGAGCCTGCATGTTTAGTCCTAATGGTAGTAGCTTTGGCTATGAAGCTGGGCAGAGGCTATAGTCTGTGAGTGACCAGTCTCGAACTGTTTGGGGTTCTACTGGTAATAGCTTTGGCTATGAACCTGACCGAAGGTTTCAGTAGCACGGGTGTCAGGGCCCCTAGGTCTGCGGATCTAGCCTGGCAGTTGGTGTTGGCCCTTCGGGGAGCATCGTGCTGGTTGTGGTTTATACCCAAATCGCGGGGAGAGCTTTGGCTCGGTGTGGAGTTGCATTACAACCGGGTGCCTGACCCATAGAAAGGCAGGAGTTTTAGATGGGCTCCGCTCCTCATCCAAGGAGGTGATCGCGTCCAAATACGTGTGATCGATTGGTACCTGCATTTCGGTGTGGGGGCGTTGGTTGACGCTTTGTATTAACTGGTGTTTACAGCACCGTGGGGTAAGACCGCAAGGTAGGTACCCACGTACTCTAAGCATCTCTGACCTCCCCGACCTCTGGGGTAGCTATTTTCATCACCCGTTGAAATAGTGAGCTAATAACAGGAGAATAAAAGACCTCGTCTCCAGATTCACTCCAGTAGATGAGCGAATTGCTATAATTTGTATAAAATCGAGGTTCTTCTACATCAGTCTTATTTGCGCTCATGCTCCCACATAAGACAAAGATGAGCAGACCAAAGACATATTTTATGAGCGCCTAGAAACAGCATGTGATCGCTGCCCTGGCCATGACATTAAAATTGTGCTAAGAGATTTTAATGCAAAAATAGGGAGGGAAAATATCTTTGGCCCCACCGTCGGAAAATTAAGCCTTCATAAAGAAACATTCCACAACGGCATGAGAGTGATTGACTTCACGGCAGCATAAAACATGGTAGTTAGCAGCACCAGATTCAAGCATCTCGATATACACAAGGCCTCCTGGATTTCTCCTGATCAAGCGAGAAAACGAGAAATCAAATTGATCATGTTGTGTTAGACGGAAGGCATTCATCCAGTGTATTAGACTTTCGATCGATCCGAGGAGCGAATAGCAAAGGTGCGATCTAATGTAACGCCGAAACTCGATGTCGAAAAGCTGCAATCACAACAGGTAGCCGAGGCCTACTCCGCTCAACTTACCCACCTGCTTCACGAACTGACCTACAAACTGCAGCAAAGACCACCCTCAAGAAATCCGTTGTACGATCAGGAGTGTCGTAATGCTTCTGAGGTGAAAAACGCAGCGTATAGGACAACCCTGCAGACAGTAGCAACACGTAATGTGATGGAGAATTATCGGGAGAAAAGGAGAGAGGAGAAACGTATTTTCAGAAAAAAGAACGAGAAAAACGTGAGCAAATCGAGATGTACAGGAGTCAGAAAGAAGTCCGAAAATTCTACCAACGGGTAAAACACCAAACCGAAGGCTTTGGTGCAGGCACATCCTCCTGTAGAATGAAGAAGGAAACCTGGTGACAGATACAGACAGGGAGGAGCATTTTGAAAAACTTCTGGTATCAAATAGTAGCGGTGAAGAGGATACCCGAGAACCAATGATAGATGACGGTATAGAGTGTATACCACCTAGCCAAGATGAAGCAGAATAGCAATCAATCGGCTGAAGGTGCCGATGGGTTACAAGCCGAACTATTCAAGACTGGATGTCAGATGCTGGAGCATGCACCAGCTGATTAGTACAATTTGCCCAATAATTGAAACCTCAGCATCCCGTACACAAAAAGGAGACAAGACGATATATGCCAAATATAGAAGAATAAGTCTCCTTCCCATCGCATATAAAGTGCTATCCAGCGTACTGTGTGACTCTGAGCCAAATGCTGGAAAAAACACACGAAAAACACATCGACACATTCCACCTATTCATCGATTATAAAGCCGCATTCGACAGCCCTATCCGTTCAGAGGTGTATAAAGCCATAACAGGCACAAGATCGGAACCCTTCAATACCTAATGAGAATTCAGACAAGGTGACAGTTTGTCGTGTGATCTTTTTAACATCCTGCTGGAAAAGGTCATACGAGACGCAACGGTGAACACCAAACAACACATGTTACTCGCCTACGCCGATGACATCGACATAATGGGTCGAACATTGAGAGCGGTAACAACCACCTTTCAACAAATTGAGAAGGAGTCTGCCAAGGTTGGTCTGGCAGTAAACGGCGAGGAGACCAAGCTGATGGTATCAACGAGAACTACAGCTTCGAGGTAGTCAAAGGTTTTATATACCATGGTACGGCCATAAATAAAACTTATGATATCAGTTTTGAAATTCGGAGAAGGATAGTGATGGCCAACAGATGCTACTATGGTCTAAGTAAGCAGTTTAGAAACAAGGCCACCTCCCGCCAGACCAAACTCACACTTTACAAAGACGCTGATACTACCCGTGCTGTTATATGGATCTGAAGCATTTGTACTTACGCAAGCAGATGAGGCAGCCCTTGGAGTGTTTGAGAGAAAAATTCTCCGATAGATCTATGAGCCGATCTGCGTTGACGGTGAATATCGCCGTCGAATGAACCATGAGTTGTACCAGCTATTCTCGGTCATCGACATTGTTAGACTATTGAGCTGCAGCGACTACGATGTCTAGGTCATGTTGTGAGAATGGATGAAGATGCGCCAGCCCAGAAGCCATATAAAAGCGAACCAGCTGATGGTTCACGCAGAAGGGGAAGGCCAAGAATGCGTTGGTCTTTCAAATTGGAAAAACTGCGCGAAAGACCGATGCGCCTGGAAATCTTTTCTAAGCTCGGCTTATGAAACGAAAGTTCTGTCACAAGCCAGCTAAGTAAGTAAAAGAGGCGTGGATTTTTCAAAGAATATTTTTCCAAGGCCTAAAAGAGGTGTGGATTTTTTCAAAGAAAATTTTTTCAAAGCCTAAAAGAGACGTGGATTTTTAAAGAACATTTTTTCAAAGCCTAAAAGAGGCGTAGATTTTTCAAAGAATATGTTTTAAAATAATATTTACAGAAACATGCAAAAATATATTCTCAAAATAATAAAACATTTTTTTATCATTCACAATAACGACGACATGCCAACATATAATTAATACCAATTATCTATAAAGAAAACGAATTGTTTTCAAAACAAAAAGTTTTGAAAATTGTTTCAAAACAAACTGCTAACTAAAATTCAAAATTAATTTATTATTCCTAACTACCAATTTGTACTACATCATAAAGACAAAGAAAATCGGCCAATTGTTTTTTATTTTTTTCGTTCCAACTATTTTCAGAAGAAACAAAACTAAAAACCAGAACAGACAGATGTCAGTCAAACTAATTCAATAAAAAACAACAGATTCTAGATAAACCATAGAAGAAAAAGACAAAGAATAAAAACATAGTCTAATAGAGTTTTGGGGGTTGTTTTATTGTGGAAATGTGTTGTTTTTCTTGTTCTTATTTTTTTTTTTTGGTAGGAGGGAAAAAAATTTAGTCTAGTTAAAAACTACTCACATCATGAATAAAATGTCGATACTCAGGTCTTGATGTAAGTTTTCTGATTGGTGTAGCAAGACCATGAATACGTCTGACGTCTTCGTTCTATGAAATTGATGGGATTTTTTATACAATTTTGAATTTAAAAGATGTTTTCAATTCAAATTGGGAGAAGATGATTATTTTATTTTTTTTAAAGAAGTATATACACGACGAAAGGGTTATGAAAGAATGGGGATGTCATGCAAAAGAAAAAATATAGTTTTTTTTATAAAGAGAATTTGAAACAAATTAGTTTTAGATTAGTTGGAATTTTTGTTACATTTTTTTTTTTTTTTGGTTTGAAATTTAATAATGAAACTGAGGCAAAAACGATTTTTTGTTTAATTTACTGAGTTAAGACAAAAAAGCTAAACTTATATTTATAATTCTTGTTTTTGTTGATTACTTTAGCTTTTGTTTAGAAAAGTAATACAAAAATTAAGTTAATTAAAATTTTAGTTTATATGTTTATCACTTTTTTCGGTTGTAAGAAAAACAATTATAAAATATATATGAGGTTTGATCAGGTGGAATTTTGAAGGAAATCGAAAAAAAGAAAAAAAAACACAAATAAACCACTTACCAATTCCGTGGTACTTTGTGGCCTTTTCGATAAAGATTTTGTATTTGTTTCTGGTGCATGTATCTCCAAATCACTTCTATAGGTATTCAATGATGACAAAGTGGCATTTTCGTTTTGATTGCCAATACTAGAAGCAGAAGAAGAAAAACAGGAATAAATTAATTTTAAATTGATAAAAAAATGGATTTTTTTATTTACCTTAAATCCGAAGAGAACCTCTTCTTTCCCGAAAATATAATAGAACCATTGTGATTTTTAATGGATCCCCGCTGTGACATCATATTCGATATATCTTCTTCGGCTGAGAAAAACATTTCCGAGGGATTTTCCGATGTCAAAGATATTGTGCGCTGCACCTCACGTGTCAAATGTTCGCCGTTTGTTAAATCTGTGGGCAACTGTGCTTGCATATTTATATCGGCAATTTCAAATTCCAAGGGATGTGAATGGGGTGCCGAATGGGACATTTCATCGGGAATCTATAAAGAATGAAAAATATATTAAAATACCTTAATAAATATTGATTTGTTAATGAATATTTTTCAAGGCCCATCACAATGCGTGGATTTTTTAAAGAATATTTTTCAAGGCCCATAACAAGGCGTGAATTTTTTAAAGAATATTTTTCAAGGCCCATAACAAGGCGTGAATTTTTTAAAGAATATTTTTCAAGGCCCATCACAAGGCGTGGATTTTTTAAAGAATATTTTTCGAGGACCTCATTAAGGCGTGGATTTTTAAAAGAATATTTTTCGAGGGCCTCCATAAGCATGGATTTTTTTAGGAATATTTTTTTCAAGGACCTCCATAAGTGTAGATTAGTTAATGGAAAATTTTCAAGGACCTCCATAAGCATGGATTTTTTAAGGAATATTTTTTCAAGGACCACCATAAGCATGGATTTTTTAAGGAATATTTTTTTCAAGGACCTCCATAAGCATGGATTTTTTAAAGAATATTTTTTTCAAGGACCCCATAAGCATGGATTTTTTTTAGGAATATTTTTTTGGACCTCCATAAGCATGCATTTTTTAGGAATATTTTTTTCAAGAACCTCGAGAACTCTTATGAGCTTAGAATTTATAAAGAATATTTATTAAAAGATCTCCAGTACTATTATGGTCTTTCACAAGAAGAGACCTTCAGGTTTAGAAGAGACTATTTTTTAAGAATGTATTTTTAAGGATCTCGAGGCCTCCTCTGAGCGTGGACTTTTTTTCAAGGACTTTTTAAGGAATATTTATTAAAGGACCTCCAGGACTTTTCGGGTCTGTCGAAGGAAGAAAACCTTCTAGTTTATGACATAATAATAAGGCAAGTAGGGCTCCTGGAAGTGTTCAATTTTATAAGAATATTGTTTCAATGATCTCCAGGGCTCTTATGAATATTTTTCAAGGAACTCCAGTACTCAATAAAGATTTTTTAAGAATATTTTTCAAGGCCCTCGATACATCTCTGATCGTAGACTTTTTAAAGAATATTCTTTCAGGACCTCGAGAACACCTTGAGCTTAGATTTTTAAAAAATATTTATTAAATAACCTCCAGGACTTTTTGGTATTTCAGATGAAAAAGACCTTCTGGTTTGGAAAGGAATATTTTTATGGACTTGCAGAACTCTTAGAAGAGTAGATTTTTTAAAGAATGTTTTTCAAGATCCTCCAGGACTCTTATGACGGTAGACTTTTTAATGACTATTTTTTCAATAACATCCAGGACTATTAGATAGAAGAAGACCTTCTGGCTGCTATAAGAAAAAGATCACCTGGTCTTCTAAACAAAGAAGACCTTATAGTCTTCTATAAGAAAACCTTAGTCTTCTATAATAAGTCCTTCTAGTCTTCTATAAAAAGACCTTCTAGTCTTCCATAAAAAACTTTCTGGTCTTTTATAAAAAGAAGGCATCTGATCATGTGGAAACCTTCTGATTTCCCACAACAAGACCTTATGGTATTGTTGGTTTGGTTTTCTATAAAAATACCTTCACACAATATTCTTATTTTGTATTTTTTCTCAGACATTTCTGTCTTTTCAATTATTTCCAATTTTTCTTACCTCCAATTCATCTTCAACATTTGCCTCCCCAGTCAACCGTGAATCCGAGATACTTGTCTTTGGCGGTGATACACGCAATGTATTATTTTGTGATTTATTTGAATCGGAACCACGACGATATACAACAATTTGTGAATCGGCTGAATCTTGACGCAAAATCTTTTTCGATGGACTATCCAGTAGACGGGCATATGGAACTTCTACAGATGTTTGTCTCGTGGTAGAATATGAATAACGTTTGCTACGTCGTTCCAGTGTATTTGGTGAACCAATACTTTCTCGTGATTTTCTTCCATTCATATCTTTGTCTAGGGTAGAGGCACCACCTAGTTTCATTTTCGCAGCCATTTGCTCAGCTTTGCCGGCAGCCAAGTCGGATTTTTTCAAACTACCATTAACGGCAGTGGGTGGACGATAAAGTTTGCCCTGAAAGGGAAGATAAAAATAATTAAAAATTTACAAAAAGAACGGAATGTGATAATCTCAATCTCCTCACCTTGCCAGTAAACTCTGCTGAATCATGCAGTGAAACTGAATGCAAGCTGTAGGGTGGTGTGTGAAACACCAACTGCCCCTGATGTAAAATACTTTCACCAAAGCCATAGTCTTTGTTGTTGTTTATGATGCTGTCAAAAAAGAGATAATGTTATTAATTATATGATCAGGAGAACGATCTTATTTGGTACTCACAAATATCTAGCAATATTATAGTTATCCTGTAAATCCTGTGCTGAGGGCTTAAAGAATTTCAAACCATTACGATTACTACCAAAGAAGGCACAACCACCAATACAACCACAGCGAGAAATATCCACAACACCAGTCATATTGCCAGACGACGTTGTTGATGTGTTGGACCACAAAAACCACAAACGTTTATATTTCATGTCATGTTCGCGCAAGAAACTAAAAGGAAAAAAGAAACCCGATTCAAATAAAACCAAATTCCATCAATAGTTGCGTTTCCGAAAATACTTACTTATGCTGCACCAAATGCAGTTTATGATCGGGTATGGGCAATGCAGAGGCACCCTCCAATAGTATCGGTCCCAATGAGGTACAACCTACCTCCACCCAATTTTCAAAGAATTCACTATCATAAACAGCCGATTGTGTACCAGCAGCAGCATTTGGTCTTCGACATTCGGAAAAACTATCCCGCAACTTACGTGAACTTTCCTCACGTGAATCTCTACGTTGTGAAAAGGAGTTGGAACTACGTTTACCTTTGGCCGGGTGTGTTCCATGATGATGTATGTCGGATTTAACTGACTCTTGATCGGCTCTACGTAATTTACCCGAACGATTACTACCAGTGGTATTGGTATTATATGAATTTGTCATGTTTGTTGTACAACCAGCATTTAACATAAACAGTCTTATCAATATTGAAGGTAACAGGCCGGATATTCCTGACTTGACACGTTGGCCGTGTAGATTGCAATTGGCCAGGCGGATGGGAGAGATCTAGGAAAACAATTTGATTAATTTTAAATAATATCTTAAACTTTTTTCCCGAACTTACCCAAGCATGTAAAGCTGTGCCGCTTTCGATTAGATAAACATCTACCGCATCTATAGAGACACGAGTCATTTTATATTTAATATCCTCGGCCGAGGGACATTTATATTTATTTTCCTCTTTGGTATGGGGACACTGATTACTCGGTACACCATGATGACAATTGCGCACCGTTTTGGGTGATTTTAAACAATTTTCGGGATCCACAGCCAGCAGGGCTAATGTCTCCAAACCCACTGCAACATTAAATAATTGGGGTAGAGTTAATTTTCCGGACAGCTTACCCAGCTGAACCTCAACAAGCCAAGAATATTCCAAGGTATCTTCATCTAAAGCACAACCTTCATTGCTAAACATGGCATGGCCACGAACCTGGAAAGGAAGGATAGATTTTAATAATTTAAAAAATAAGAACAAAGGAATAATTTCCAAGGACTTCGAGAGACGTGGATTTTTTAACGAATACTTTTTCAGGACCTCTAGTGGGGTATATTTTTCAGATTTTTTAAAGATTTTTTTTCAAGGGTCTATACAAGGCGTTAATTTTTTAAAGAATATTTTTTTTTAGGCCCATAAAAAGGGATTTTTTTCTATTTTTTAACATAAAAGGCATGGATGTTTTAAATAATATGTTTTAAAGAATATTTTTTCAAGGACCATAAAAGGCGTGGAATTTTTAAAGAATAATTTTTAAGGCCCATAAAAGGCGTAAATGTTTTAAAGAATATTTTTTCAATGTCCATAAAAGGCGTGGATGTTTTAAAGAATATTTTTTCAAGGCCCATAAAAGGCGTGGATGTTTTAAAGAATATTTGTTCAATGCCCATAAAAGGCGTGGATGTTTTAAAGAATATTTTTTCAAGGCCCATAAAAGGCGTGGATGTTTTAAAGAATATTTTTTTCAAGACCCATAAAAGGCGTCGATGTTTTAAAGAATATTTTTTCAAGGCCCATAATAGGCGTGGATGTTTTAAATAATATTTTTTCAAAGTTCTATACAAGGCTTTGATTTTTTAAAGATTATTTTTTCAAGGTTCTATACAAGGCTTTGATTTTTTTAAGAACTTACCTGTACTGCCGACAACATTAAATGGCCCTGATTGATATGTTTATCACGATTTTGACGTGGCACCAAATCCGATGTTATCAAATATGAAGGGCTAACCAAAACTTGCAGCGTTGTTTCATGATAACGTTTATTCATTTCGAAACCGAAACGTTCTATGAGCACCACAGGACAGGGTGGATCATTTTCATTGCAATTTTTCATTATGTGAGCCTGTATATCGTGTATAATGACGGATACTATAACCTCCAGTGGTCTATAGAGTCTTGGATCAAAGGGTTTTTGTTTTTCCTCGGGCACCGTAACTTCTGATATTGATTTGGTGGCCAAATCTTTATCTTTTGATAAGAGTTGATCTTTGGGGTTAATGGGTGCTGGTATGACGGTTTCTTTGGTCTTCACATTCGATTGTTCCATATCGGTGAAATTTTGATCTTCGCCGAAGATGTTTTCTTTGAGATTTATGAAATTTCGTAAAACATTGCCATAACACATTAGCACAGAGGAGCCTATTTCCAGCTCCACTGTCACATGATCTGCTGGCAGAGTGGAAGGGTCGAACTTTTGTTGCTGTTCTGCGGCCTTTTGCCAATTGGGATTGGGTGATTTCCGCGTTTTTGGTATACGCATTGGACTGAGCAAAATTTCTTCTTTTTCAGGTGTTGTTATATCGGCCTGAGGATCTGGCCCCAGCGGAGGTGCTGGATGATAGACATATTGTATTGATAAGGCCACAATTGGCACTGTCCAACAATCTATCCAACCAGCTGAACGTTGACATATTTTACGCCATTTTTTGGTATACAACTCGGGTCGGGTTTTCACTTTACCGCTTCTGGTCAACAGACGGGCATTTTCATCGATGGCCAAGACAATGGGCCTTGTCGAGGATACTTCTGGTACATATAGACTCAAATCGAGACCCTCGCCATGTATCCAAAATTTCAGAGTCACAGTTTTGGGTAAAAAATCTTCAAATGGCAGAGCAAAACTCATATCAAAGACATCGCCACAAAAGGCCAAGTGATTGTTTTCCTGATTCGCACTGGAACAGTCGATCCAATTGTATTCATTGCACAAGGTGAGAATTTCAAATTCATTAAGGAGTATATTAAATTTACAGGTATATGGCACAAAGGATAAAATATCCGGTCTGGCTTTGCTGGCCCAATCTTCGATGAGATCTTGAAAGAAACATTTGTGTTTGTATACGATGTAGGCAGTTGCTTTGCATCCGGCCAATGAAATGCTCCAATCCTGGGGAGCATTCCATTTGGTGGGGTAGTGTATGCGAACTTTATATTCCAGCGATTCAAATTCGGCCAAGCTGCGATACTGCAAGGAGGTTGTTGCCTCCACATGGAACAATTGACCTTGAATCTTCGACGTGTAGCCATCGGGATGTGTTACCCAGGGTATCGTAACTTCCACATAGGAGGCTGGACCCACTGTTATGTGCATGGCATTTGTTTCCTTCTCTTTGGAGAATAAAATATCAATGGTGGCTTCATTTAGGACACACAGCGTGACATCAAAACTTTGATAGCTACGTAGCTCCCCCGGCTTGGGCATTGGGGTGACTTGCATTTCCTTCCAATCGGGTGGATAGAAAAATTTAAATAAATGATCACGTTGACGATCGGCCCAGGGACCATAACTGAAATCTGTGCCTTTTAAACATTTGATATTAATACCCAAGACGGGTAATGAGGGTTCCACAGTATCACCATTGGCCAATGTAATGTGTACCGGTTCTTCGGGAACCACACCCGGTTCATCCATATAGAAATATAAATCCATTTGATTGGACATCATTACAACAAAGCCCTCGCCCATATAACGTGGTGGTTCATCTACCAGACCCGTATATTTTGGACTGGGGGCAAACATCACCTTGGCATTTTCTACATTGGCCTTAACGAAATGCATAAAATGATCCAAACGACACACCGCCGGTTTCGTACTATATGTACAATGGGCCTCCTCCATGGATATTGACAGGGTGGTGGGTGTCAGACGATTACCGAACACAAATCGTCCCGAACATATATCAATTTTAATTACTGGTATGAGATCACGCCATGTTGTCGCTTTCATGGCTTCGGAATGTTTGACGCTTTGACGTTTACTTTGGCGGGCATTTTCCATATTCATGGTGTGCTCCTTGAGTTTGATGCGTTCCTCTGTGGATAGGGAGTCCGTCTGGAAGAAAAGAAGAAGAACAATTTATATATTTTTGTTGAGAATCTTGGTAGTTTGATAAAACTTACCGGTATCAAGACGGAAGGTTTCAAACCAAATGTCCTTTCCAGTTCATCATATAGCTGTGAACGATTGTAAATATGCAATTCAAAGCCATTTAATTGCACAGATAACCGGGTATCCGAATGGGATAAATCTGAAAGAAAGAATAATTGAATTTTGAATATGAGTATTCAACAAAAATTAATTTTGTTGAAAATTGAACAAAAAATTTAATTTAAATTGCAAATCAACAAAAATGGAATTTAATTTACAATTCAACAAATATGGAATTTAGTTTACAATTCAATAAAACATTTAATTTATAATTCGTTAATTCATTAATTCATATTTTTACAATTTCAAAAATGGAATTTTGTTGAAAATTCAACCAAAATTTTGAGAAATTAAATAAAAAGAAATTTTGTTAAAAATTAACAAAAAAATAAAAATTAAATTTTTTCAAAATCAACAAAAAGAAATTTTGTTGAAATATTCAATAAAAAAATTTAAATTTTTTTCAAATTCAACAAAATTTTTATTTGTTGAAAAAAAAAAAAGAAATTTAGTTGAAAATTCAACAAAAATGAAATTTAATTTACAATTCAACAAAAAATTAATTTTGTTTACAAAACATAAAAAAATTAAATATTGTTTAAAATTCAAAAAAAATGAATTTTGTTGGAAATTCAAAAGTTAAATTTTGTTAAAAATTAAACAAAAATTAAATTTTTTGAATTTAACAAAAATTAAAAAAATTATATTTTGCTGGAAAATGAACAAAAAAGAAATTTTGTTAAAAATTCAATAAAAAATGTAAATTTCTTTCAAATTCAACAAAAATTTAGTTTTGTTGACAATTCAACACAAATAGAATTTTGTTGACCATTCAACAGAAATAGAATTTTGTTAAATTAAAAAAAGTTAAATTTTGTTGGCAATTCAACAAAAATTAAAAAAAAATAATTTTGTTGAAAATTCAGCAAGTTGTAGAAAAAAGAAAAAAATGAACTTTTCAACAAAACATAACATATTAAAAAAAATCAACAAAAAATCCAATTGTTCATAATTCAACAATTTAATTAATTTTTTTGATATTTCAACAAAAATGTATTTTTTTTTTTTTAAAAAATTCAACAAATCATTGAATCAAAGTTGCTGCCAAAAATTAAAATTCAATTTTGTTTACTTACCCTCAGATACATCTTTGGGTACATAGGAACGCCACCAACGAAATATGAAATAACCATCCTGTACCCGTACAGAATAATCGAATGTTATATAGACAAAATCACGAAACATTATTTTACCCGCTAATGGATTTAAAGCTACAGAACCTGTAAAAATAAACGAAGTCGTTATTTAATAATATCTCTTCTAGTATAGATTTTGAATTTCTTACCTATTTTAAAGAATGCTCCCTTGATAAACCAACGATTGGCGATTTTTGTTATTAACACTCCCATTAAACGGGAATTGTAAAATGTGATGTAGGTAACCCATGTTATTGATGTTAGCAGCGAACAGAGAAGCCATATCTGGAAAGAAAAATTAAATTAGTATTATAAAAATAAATTTGGCAAAAGGGAATTCAATATTCGGTTTCGGATAAAATCTTGATCACATTTTAAATCTTTCGATCAAAAATTATCAATATTTGTCCATGTTTTTTTTTTTTTTTTTTTTTTGTGGAAGCCCTCATATAAAGGCATCCGGTCTTTCGATATATTTTAGATACATATGGGATAGAAAATCTTTTTATCTACAAGTGAAAAAGTGTCAGTCGGTGTTGCCGACAAATATATACCCTATGGAATTTTGATCCTTTACGGGGGAAGTACTAGAAGGAGTGGACCGATAAGTCTCATCATTCACATTATACAGTCATGGTTAAAATAATGTTCAAAGTTTACTTTAAATCGGATGATCCTTTTGCCTGATATAATAAAATTAATTTTGTGGTGGACCGATTGGTCCCATTTTCGGACATAATCTAGGTAAGGTAAACATATTACCATCTGCAAAGTTTCGATTGAATTGGATATACCGTTAGCTTCATATGAAATGAAAACTTTTTAATATTTTTGAACGTTTGTGGGGGAGGTACTAGAAGGAGTGAACCGAATGATGGGTCTTCGTTCAACATTACACAGCCATGCTTAAAATATTAGGTTGTGCAAAGTGTACTTAAAATCGCACAATTTTTAAAATTTTGTGTTGGAGGTGCCAGAAAGAGTGAACCTATATTCAAAATTTTCGACCTTAATCTAATTTTTGAAATAAATACTACGATGTGCAAAAAGTATCTAAAATGGATTTGGTTCAAAAAAATGGGTCTAAAACCAAAATTTAGATGAGGTACATTGATGCCGTAACCATAAGACGAAGAGTATAAAAATGAACAACATTGCTCTACTTATTGGGGTATTCCACCATATGTTCAACCGAATTGGATGTAACATTATTAATTCTCGTCAACAGACGGCAGTTTCATGAATGTAATGGGTCTTGTCGAGGCTCAAATTTAATCATAACAGATAGGGAAATAAACAACAAAAAATAATTGAAATCATGCGCTTGTGCTGAAAATGTATCACCCTAAAATCCACGCGTGTATTACTCCTTGGACAACTTTTCTTAAAAAAAAGATGATTACGCTGATCCTTGAAAAAATATTCTTAAAAATTATGTTCATTAAGGAATTTACATAATATTCGATCTTGTTATTGACCGGAAAAAGTCTACGATATTTACGAGATAGTGGTTCAGCCTCTCGCAAATGTCATCAAGTTTAGGTCCTGACGCCAGAATCGTACAATCATCCGCATATGTTACGATCTTTATGCCGTCCGGTGGACGTGGAATTCCAAAGAGGTATATGTTAAACAGTTCCGGAGATATTTCCTGTCTCTGAATTCCACATATGACTGGCGTCCACACATATAGTTCACGATCCAACGTTTCAAACTTGGCTGGAGGGTTGTTCTCTCGACGTCCTCGAACAGCTTGGCGTAACTGACGGTATCAAATGCCTTTGATAGGTCCAGCGCCACCATGACTGTCCTGTTACACGGCCTGTTCTGGTTGAGTCCTTCTGCTATGTGTGTGGAAATGAAAATACAAATACAATGTTACGATTAGGTCTAAATCCCGACTGACTATCATGTAAAATGGGATTTTCTTGTTCAAATGTAAGGTATTCCAAATTTCGAGGTCTAGTAACTTTCTAGTGTCTTGGGTCGGAAGGAAGATAGTCTAATCGATCTATAGTCATTAGGCAGCGTGGGACTCAGCTTCCCGGCTTTCGGAATGAAGATTACAGTTAAATCTTTCTTTGGTATGTACGATGAAAACAGAAAAGGTCTTAAAATCCTCCCGGGGGATTTGTACGGTGCAAAGCTATTTGTTGGCCATACCAATTAGGGTAGCTTATTGTATTCTCTATCACCTTCTCCTCCTCCTTGGCCCGAACCATATGTCGACGTGTATGTTCCACATTGTATTGTCATTTTGATCCATACACCCAGGGAAGTGGATCGATGATAAAAGATCTACAGCCTCTCTTCTGGATTTTGTCCGCGTTCCATTACCTCGCTTAAAATTACTTATCGATTGGGGATCTTCAGATATTATTCTGCGAAATCTGACCGCTTCGTAAACTCTTTTGATTGATTCACTTAAGCAAACCCAAGACGTTTAGACATCTTGATTTCATTTTGTACCTATTTAATTGTTCTCTGTAATATGCTTCGTGCGAAGTTAGTAGTTCTAGTTAATACCAGAGACTATTTCGATTCCGGACCTTTAACAATCATTAACATTTTAAAACGGGAATGGGGTTCCCATAATTTGGTGTCTATGGAAAATAACATTAAATAATAATTCACAAAACAATCGTTTCCAGTTGCAATAAAAAACATGTTTATACATGAACACAAATAAATCAAACGTTATTTTGTATCAAACAAAACATATTTATATACAGCACCTGCATTATCTTATCTCCCCCAAAATCACTTAACAAAAAAATAAATAAATAAAAACTAAATCCGCCCAACCAACACCCACTTCAAGAAGAAGAGTGAACACATGTTTACAACCCAATGTTTTGACATCATCAATCATTTCGTCGTCTTTTGTCACCTCACCGGTAAAAAAATAAAAACAACCGAACCGGTTTTTTTTCTTTTGGTAAACACAATAATGTGAGTAATCATTAAATAATGTTTGAATGAATTACAACAATAATAAGAGCAACAAGTGTTTATTATTGCAGGGCACTCGCGCACGCATGCCGCATTATTATCTTATTTACATTACACACGATAAGAGAGAGAGCGAGAGAGAGACAAACCCCCCGGTTTGTTTACAAACACAAACTTCAACAGGTGGTTATTTTTGGGGTGGTGGTAGAAGAAGTCGAAAATAACCGAAAAGATAATAAAAACAAACATTACGATAAACAGCTGATAATTGGAGTAAGGCCATAAAACTGAACACAGCTTGGGAATGTTAAAAACAATCAAGGGAAGGGCGAGAAGTGGAAAATTACATATGTGAGCCGGCGTAAAATAGACAATTTTGGCGGCGTACAATTTTTACAAAGCAACTTTGACTATAAATATCGAAGGCGTACGAAAATTTTGAAAGGCGGTAATTATTACCAATGGTTTCGGCGGCTTATGGGGTAAGAATTTTTACCATTGGATTATTGAATTAAAAAAATATATATTTTTATATCAGATATATAGATAAGTGACCTGAAGGGAGAGGTGACTCTATACCCGACTAAAGAAGAATTTATTATCGAAATAAAGGGAGTATTTTTGGACGAGCTAAGGAGAGTATTTTTAGACGAGCAGCGGAGAGCCTTCAAAAACAAGTTGAAGAAAGTCTTCATAGACGAGCCGAAGGGATTCTTCATAGAAGAGCTGAAATGAATCTCTATACACGAACTGAAGGGAGTCTTTTTAGATATAACTAGTGAGCGGAGCAGTATAGCCGGACGTGGCCGACCATATAATACCCTACACAACTACCAATGAGCGCTCAGTTTCTACGGTTCTATATTCTGAGCTTGGGCAACATTTTTGGATACTTGCACCCTTGTGACCGATTATAGGTCAACAGCTCCACTTTCAAACCCTGTTATATTTTCCAAATCTTGTCTTTCCAAGGTGAATATTTTTGCCATAATATAAAAATTTGGTAACTTTAGGTTTTGATTGATTTGATCATAGGAATATTGACCGATCATCACTTAAACAGCCGTTCTATTTAAGGGTCAAGGGTCAACCACTTCTCTTGGATATATGTTATTTTCACACAAAAGTCAGGGTCCATTTGACCCGCTAAATATTGACTGATCTCTATCAAAGCAGGCATGCTTATTCTTTGGCCCGATTCCCTTCTTCATGCAAAATTTCACAATGTTCGGGTCGTAATTGCGGCCTCTGGAGCGACAAAAATTAAGTTATTGGCCCATTTTCACCCCCTAAATATTAACCGATCTTCACAAAAAATAATAGGGATTTTCATTGCTCAAAACCGTTACTATTTGCAAAATTTCGTGAAGATTGGTCCATAAGTGTGGCCTGTATCGTGTTTACAAATTATAATGGACAGACGGACACATCGATCGACTCAGCTAGTCGAGAAATAACGATCGGTATACATAAAGGACCAATCTTTTTCGGCGTTACAAACTCTTGGGGCTGCAAAAGGCTATAATACCCTGACAACATAGTTGTGTAGGGTATAAAAAGTTCCGAACGATTTCAGTTGTTGTAGAAGTTTCTCTACGCAATGTGGTCATGATTCTAACTCTGGGTTTAAAAAAATTTTTAGTCAATATATATCGAAAATCGATTTCGAACAGGTTAAGCAAAATGTAAATATCGAAAAGTCGAGTTTATAGTTTATCAAAGGCGAAAGACGACTTTCGCGCTAAACTACCCTGTGCCAAAACAACTCTGGTTTATCTAGGTAGGTGGGGCTCTGCTGCTGCTATCAATGCCGGATGTTCTCACAAGGATTGTTTTTACCCTGATTCACGTCCACAACATAGCTGTCCGGACTTCAGATGTTATTGTGAAGACATCCGAGACGTCAGTGAGAGACTTCTGTTAGGCAAACTCGTTACGTTCTGGCACGAAAGCGCATTGAGGTCCTAAATTGGTATTCTTCCTGTCCTAAGTTTCGACAACAGGCCATCTGATTACAACAGACTATTTTCCGGGCATCGCGAACTATTTTTCACATGCATTAAAAAATTGACCCAAAACCCATATTTTTGACTGGTGCACTATTTACCTAAAATCGTAGAAAATATATATGGGAGCTATATCTAAATCTGAACTGATTTTCAAGAATCTTGGCACACATTATTCTAGACTTAATTTAGTACGCTATGCCAAATTTCGTGCAAATCGAAAGATATTTGGCGCACCAATTACCTTAAATCGTACGAAAAAAATATATGGGATCTATATCTAAATCTGAACCGATTTTCACGAAACTTAACACATCATTCCGGACTTAATAAGCTGTGCCAAATTTCGTGCATATTGAGGGATATGTAGGGACTTTGGTGCACCATTTACCTTAAATCAAACGAAAATATATATGAGAGCTATATCTAAATCTGAACCGATTTTCACGAAACTTTACGTACGCCATTTTAGACCTAATTAAGATATAATAGGGACTTTGGTGCACCATTTACCTTAAATCGGACGAAATTATATATGGGTGCTAAATCTTAATATGAACCGATTTTTACAAAACTTTACGTACGTCATTCCAGTCTGAGTTCAATACGCTATCCCAAATTTCGTGCAAATCGAAAGATATATAGGTACTTTGGCGCACCATATACCTAAAATCGGACGAAATTATATACGGGAGCTATATCTAAATCTAAACCGATTTATCCCAATTTCAAAAGGGTTCGTCCTATGGCCAAATAAATGAGCTGGGCTCAATTTAATACAAATCGGATGATAAATGCGACATGTACTTTGTTTACAACTTAACATGGACAGACGGAAGGACATGCAGAATGTGATTCTATGCATATTCTCACCAGGAACCATGGGTCTATCTCGTTTCCTTTTGCCTGTTACAAACCTATGCACAAAGCCATAATACCCCTGTACCACACTGTGAAGGGTATAAAACCTCTGGAAAACAAATTCAGAAAAATCTGATCGTTTTTTTGTAGAAACACTACCAAATGTGCAAATTGGATACTCCCTTCGAGAATTATCCTGCGCACCAGCCGGCTAGACGGACATTTGTAAGTCGACTCCAAATTTTCTGAAACGGATTTGCTCCAAAGAAACATGGGGTCCCAAACCAATATTTCGATAAGGCCCATTTTTACCGAATGAAAGTGCATATTCTCTCATTAGCCATAAGGCTGAGGGAAAAAAATGGGACATGAGAGATTAGTATTACCAGGGTAATAAACCCACATACTATGTACAACTAATACAACTACTTCAAAGTTATTAGAGAGGCGGCTGCATATCAAGAAAAATCTGTAAAGGCGTCAATAAAATTTACGTCGGCATCGTATTTTTCACCTGCACCTTTGCAAAGCCCTAAACAGAACAACAACAACAAATTATACAAAACAACAAAAATAATAATACAAAAATATTATGAATGAATGGATTTTATAGACGCAATAAATTAAACAAATGTTAATAAAATTCTGTATTTAATAGAAACCACTATCTCAATGAAAGGAAACAATTGAAAAACTGAGATAAGAGTATTTGAAAAAAAAACTAATAACCAGAGACTACAATAAAAAAATTTGTTTTTATCAGTAGCAACAGCAAATGATGGGCTATAGGAAATGTGGGGCATCACAAAAAGGCAATGGACTGATTGCCAAAGCGATGCTCATCATCATCATATTTATTTTCGTTTAGTACAACAACTACAAAAATTATTGATAAGCAATAAGAAAACGAAAAAAATAACCAATTTGGTCAACTAATGACATTTCCTTGAGCGATTTAATTTAATCAATACGAAGAAAACCCAGATAACGAGCAAGAGTGCAAAAACCACCAATGCACAGAATGATTCATGCTAGGGGCGGCGTAATGGATACCACCACCCCATCACATTACCACCAACCATAATTTTTTTCGAAAATAATTTTTTATGAATCAAAAATGTAATTACCATGGGAGCATCGATTTTCATATTTTCCAAGGCAATGTGTCCTGTGGAATTCCATGTTCCTGCATCGGCAAAGCCGAAATTAATTTCATTCTCCTCCTGCTCCATGATTGTTGATGATGGCTCGCTCGCCTTGGCTGCCTCGGTTTAGTTCTGGACAATTTTTTTGTTTAATTCAATTACACTGAATACACACAGACACATGGACACACACATTCGCACACTCAGACCAGATTTATTGCACTTTGAACATTTGTGGAATACAATATTACAATTTTTTTTTTCTTTTTTCAATTTTGCTCGTTGCTTCCTGATATATTTCTGTTTTTTTTTGTATTTCCTTTGTTGTGTTGTGACTTCGATTTTTCGCACTTTTTAGGGCTGGGTTCATGTAACCACGGACCGAACAACCGACCGAGCAACCAACCAGCACCTTTCGATATTGTGATTTACGTATTTTTTGCACTCAATTCGTTTTATTTCTAATACAATTAAAAACTACGTCTAATTTTATGATTATCTTAATGTTATAACACATTTTGTTTCACGGGTTTCGTTAGAAAATTCACGGTTTTCTCGTTTTTTCACTAAATTTTCTCTACATTTTCCTCTACATTACCTAGAGTTGGGTAGTTTCGGAACGAACTAGTTCATTGGAACTATTCCGAGAAAGGAACGAACGGAACTAGTTCCAGTTCTTTAATTAATATAATTCCTTTCTCTGATCCAGTTCCTTTTTTGAACTATTTGAAGCAAAGGAACTATAAAGAGCAAAGGAACTATATGGAGCAAAGGAACTATTTGGAGCATAGGAACTATAAAGAGCAAAGGAACTATATGGAGCAAAGGAAATATATATGGAAAAACGAAAAAAAGAATGATGAAAGAGAGAGATTCAAAAGAACTATGTAGGAGTCGGAACTATATGGAGCAAAGGTACTATATGGATCAAAGGAACTATATGGAGCAAAGGAACTATATATGGAAAAACGAAAAAAAATAATAAAAGTGAGAGAGAGAGATTCAAAAGAACAGTGGGAAGCCTCCAAGACTCCAGCCTTTATAAAATTCGCTTGTTAATCGTCGTTCTGCCAAGACTCAAGCGACGTCGTACGCAAACCTTCGCCAACAAATGGTATGTTCCAGTACTTTTTATACCCTCCACCATAGTATGGAGGGTATATTAATTTTGTCATTCCGTTTGTAACTCATCGAAATATTCATTTCCGACCCTATAAAGTATATATTCTCTTGATCAGGGTAAAATTCTAAGACGATCTAGCCATGTCCGTCCGTCTGTTGTAATCACGCTATCTTCTGAAGGAATTGAGATAGGGTGCTGAAATGTTGCATAGGGTTGTCTTTTGTCTGCAGGCAGGTCAAGTTCGAAGATGGGATATATCGGTCCACGTTTAGGCATAGCTCCCATATAAGGGTACCCCCCAATTTTCGGTATTTTGGGGTTCTTGAGCGCGTTTTTCAAGCGAATTTGTAGTAAATGTATCCACAAAAAATTATAAGGGCACCCCAAATTTTCGGTATTTTGAGGTTCTTAAGCGCGATTTTCAACCGAATTCGCTGAAATTTGGTACAGTGGGTTCATATTGGGTACCAAATATCTCTATTTAAAATTATAAATATCGGTCCACTTTTTCATTTCAAATACCTGTCAGTATACCTGTGGTGGAGGGTATCCAAAGTTCGGCCCGGCCGAACTTAACGCTTTTTCACTTGTTTAATAGTAAAGCTAGTAAAAGGGAAACATTTCAAGTCTCAGAGTACAAAATAATTTGAAAAGTTCTGGAACGCAAATCTAGTAAATATGCCAAAGTTAGATGGCAATACTTCAAAATCAACATAAAAGCCAATCAGAAGTAGGCATTCCTGTTTACCATTTTTATTCGGACAAATTTTTCGAGAAAAAGGTTTAGAAAGAGAAAGCCATTTTGTTTTGTGCTCTCTTAAATTTGATTCAATGCTTTACCAGTTTTATGGGTTCAGGAACGGTTTTCGAGTAAAAAGTTGCAAAACTTGTAAAATTAGTAGATTCTTTTAGGTTTTGGAACGGAGCTAAAATAAAAAAGACGACTGAAAAAATTGAAAAACGTTCCACCTGCTAACGAATGGGAGGAGAAGACAAAATGGCCGATAAAGATGAACTCAAAATGGTATAACCGAAAGTTTACGAATGAGGTGGGATAGAGACTAAATGGAAACCGTGTTGTTTACGAATGAGGTTTAGGCAAATTATGATTAGGGATAAGTAAATCGACTTTCGATTAATCGACTTTTTGTATTGAAAAGTCTAATGCCATGTACAGACGAGCGTTGTTCCCTCTCTCATTCGTGGTTCGACTCTTAATTATGAAGTAATTACATAGTTCAAAGGAACTACATTAAGGAACTAGTTCCTTTTTAAAAAAGAAACGAGAATTATCGATCCGCTACGCGAACGATTGCCCAACTCTACATTACACATAGGGATAAGTAAATCGACATTCGATTAATCGAATTTTTGTATTTAAATCAAAACGTCGAAATCGACTTTCGAAGAAATCGCAGAGTCGACTTTTCAAAATTGGTCTGCGTTTGTTTTGATGGCGATGGACGGCTTTATTTTTGTTTATGTTTTGCAGGAAAACAATGAAAGACGTGTTCAGCTGGCATAAGTCAGCTGGCATATTTGAATATAAATGAAGGTTTATATCACTGTTGGTTTATTAAAATACCGTATATACATTCCAAATATTTATGTTTGGTCTGTTCCAGAACCTGCAAGAATGTAATTTTTACTACAAATTAGTAGATTCTTGCAGTACAGGAGCAGAGCATTTGTTTAAATATAATTATTGTAAAATAATAATTATTATTGTAATATAATAATTGTTATTAATATAATAATTATTATTAATATAATAATTATTAATATAAATATAAATATTATAAATACAATACTTGTTAATTTAAAAATTATAATTAATATACAAACTATTAATTTAACAATTATTATTAATATTGTTACGTTCTTGGATTTTAGTTAATCCCGTGTAGTCGTTGTTTTATTTCCCGATACAATTCGTACCAAATAAAACGCGGGTTCTTTCTGATTACGATTATTACAATGATTTTATTCACACAACTTTACTTTGCACTTTACTTTACTCGACGGTTTCAATTCGCGATCTGATTCACAACTGACTCACTGTCTTTCCATTTCCTCTATTTATATGAGCCCTGCCTGTCGCTACAGAAGTTTATTAGACGATCTGGTAACGTCTAGATTATTGAACAATCTACCAATGCAACAAACACACATACAAACTTACATCGAGTAAACAATAACAACAACACATACAAACTTACATTGAGTAAACAATAACAACAACACATATACAGGCGAGGGGGTAACAAAGAAAGAGGAATTAAGCGATCATCAATGATGACGTTTAACAAGAATTGTACGACAATAACAAAAATAGAAAATGAAAGAGGAAATGGAAGGATGTAGAAAAATCTATACAGTAGTTGTTGTTGTGAAGTTATTCAAATAAACTGCGTAGTAGAAATTTACGTTACAATTCAAATTCTTAAATTAACGGAATTCATCTAAAGTAACTTAAATCTAAATTTATATTCGTAACAATATAATAACAATTGTTCTTATTAATGTATTGTCCTTGTTAATAGTATTATAGTTTTTTTGTCCATGTTATTAGTATTTTATTAATAAATGTTATCTTATTTGTTATTAAAAATTAAAATATTAATATTATTATTAATAAATATTATAACTGTTTTTAATATTATTGTCATTATTTCTCTTATTATTGTTGTTTCTTGTTATTATTAGAATAATTATTTATATAAGTTTTATTATTAATAAAATTTATAATAAATAATTATTATTTTTAATATTTGGTCTGTTCCAGAACCTGCAAGAATGTAAAATTTTTACTACGAATACAATTTTTCCTTTATGATATCGGAAAAAAGTACAAATTTGTAGATTCTTGCAGTACAGGAGCAGAGCATTTGTTTAAATATAATTATTGTAATATAAAAATTATTATTGAAATATAATAATTGTTTTTAATATAATAATTATTATTAATACAATACTTGTTAATTTAAAAATTATAATTAATATACAAATTATTAATTTAATAATTATTATTAATATAATAACAATTTTTCTTATTAATGTATTGTCCTTGTTAATAGTATTATAGTTTTTTGTCCATGTTATTACGAATGTGTTTTTATTAGTATTTCTATTAATTATTAAATATTATTATGAAATGTTATTTTATTTGTTAAAATATTAATAAATATTATAACTGTTTTTAATATTATTGTCATTATTTCTCTTATTATTATTGTTTCTTGTTATTATTAGAATAATTATTTATATACGTTTTATTTTTAATATTATTATAGTTTTTATACCCTCCACCATAGTATGGAGGGTGTATCAATTTTGTCATTCCGTTTGTAACTCATCGAAATATTCATTTCCGACCATATAAAGTATATATATTCTTGATTAGGGTGAAATTCTATAACGATGATTGAGGTAATTGAGCGAGCTACCGAATTTGGTACATTGGGTTCTTATTTATCCAATAAACATTATAAATATAGGTCCACTCTTTCTGGTAACTCCCATATAACGGTAACCCCCCCCCCCTTCTTTTTCAGTTTTTGGCGGGTTTTAACCGCATTATCAACCAAATTGGCTGTAGTTTAGTTCTTTCCATATTTTGGTTCTTGAGCGCACTTTTCCACCGAATTCTCTATAACTTGGTTTTTATAATCGTATATGGTAACAAATCTCCCTCACAAAAATGTTTGATATTCGCCCCCTTCTTAGGAGTAGTCTGCATATAACCCCCTTTTTATACCCTCCACCACAGTATGGAAGGCATATTAATTTTGTCATTCCGTTTGTAACTCATCGAAAAATTCATTTCCGACCCCATAAAGTATATATATATTTTTGATCAGACGATGTTGCGTACCGTCTGCTGCGGCTCCTGGTGGGGTTCCAACCGGCTCAGTCGGTGCACGGCTTTAGGGTTGAATTCCCAACCCTACCACCATCAGACCTAGGGGTCGAACAATTAAAAAGAAAAAACGGAAATAGAACAACAAAACAAAACTCATCAGCTCTTAATTTTTAAAGGGCCCCTATTTCCACATCGTCCTATCTTCCTCCCTTACAGAAAAACGGTTAGCTCATCATATTAATCTAAACCTTTATATATAAAGAACAACATAGTCCATATTATAAATTTCTAACACCTAAAGCTATCGATTAGTCAATGCTTCAGACTACCACCACAATTTATTGGATCGGCACCTCCTGGCCACTTTATTACCTTATTACCTCACCTTAAAGAGCTCTCTTAGTTGGTTACTGGGGACATTACCATTTGGCCCCACAATAGGCAAACACAATTTCTAATATGATGTTTGGGGTAACCCAACACTTAATTATTTAAAATTTAGTATTTTTTTTTATTTTTTTTATTTTTTTCCGTTCCCTAGGTATTTGAGTTCGCGGAAGCAGAATAACGACTTTTTTAAACCTATTGTCAGGCAATTTGCCAGAAGGCATATTTCAGGACAGAAGCATATTTCAGTCTATTCGGCTAAGGATAACGTCTATATTCTGCAGAGGGTATTCGTCTTTTATAGTTAAGGCATTAAGCTTTCTGGCATTCAAAAAGAATCTATTTTTATCAGGTTTCCGCACCAATGTCGTCCGATTACTCCATGCTGAATCACTCTCCTCTATGATATAGAGCGCAAGCATGTTACCGATTTCTTGGTAAACTATTTCTTGGTGCTGGTGACAGGGGATAATGGTTACCTTTATCCGAATTAGCTCCCTCTATCAACTTAATCTCGTGCTTTTTGGTGCAGCCTAAACCCTTTTCTTCAAAAGTGGAGAAGTTTTTGACGACCTCATTTAGTTTTATTTTTGTTCCTCGGTTAACTCATGCATTTTAGGATTTTTATTTGCAGAATCCCCGTGTATTTTCCTTTGTAATATTAATTCCTTTTGTCTTACCGGAAATATTTGTGGAGCTATATCGAAGGCTTTCCAAAAGTCTGCTCTGAGATATAAATCAAGTCTGGACACAGAAATAAATCAATTTTCTAGATCAACAGTAACTTTTCCTAAAATCTTGTGCTTCTGTACAAAAGCAGTGCTGACGATCGAAATATATGGACTTATTTCTAACCCCAATTCTTCTATAATTTCCCGACAGTTTCATCCAAATATGCTAACTGTAGCCCCTGAATCTATGAGACCTTTAATTTGTTTCCCTTCAATATTTATAGTCGCATATGGTCTTGGGTCTTTTATATATTGGGATTTGACTATTGCTTTCGATACTGTTTTTTTTACATCCGGTTTTGTTCATGTTTTTGTATTAATTTTGCAATTTTTTCTTTACTTCTACTTTGAGATTTTTATCTGAATTGTTCTGTTTTTCCTGACTTTTGTTTTCATGTTGTTTTCATGGAATATTTTTGACCTTACTTTTGCATAATTTGCTTCCCTAACTTCTAATGGTAAATAGTGTCGCATCTTTGAATAGTTTACTTTATCGTCCGTATCTGTTAATTGGACTAGGCATTCAGATTCATCTATTTTAATTTCCGAAATCTGGTCATATCACTTTTAGTTAGACATTAGTGTCTATTTAAATTTTTTTTTTAATTTTTTGATTTTTGAAACACTTCTACCGTTGAAGTGAATGCCAGAACATGGCCGTATCACTAATAAAATGTGAAAGGTATCATTGTAAACTTGTTAAAGGTGCTCACCTTGTATCTCTGTAATATGAACTCGAGAATCTTATTCGTGAAGAGGGCACAGATTTCGTACAAACCCAAATTTGTTGATGCTGTGCATTTTCATACGATAACTTTAAAAATGTCCCTTTCTTTATTTATTTTCATGTGTGATACATGTGAAATACCTATATATACATTTGATTGCCAAGATGGAAAGTCAAAAAGGTCCATCGTGTCTACGCACTTAATATTAGCCACCGGAGTCCTAAATCCATTCGCATGTTTATGTGTGCATCCGTTTTTAAAAACTTGCAATCAATACCCACTGATAACGTATATAACCACGTGGTATATAGTTTTGCTTTAGGTAAGATGTCTTGCAACAAAAAGATAATTGAATACACCAAAATTCTTGACAATGTAATAATATACTCCACCCCTCCCCCTTTTTTAAATTAAAAAATCACATATCTTTTTAATGTTTTCTTTCATTATTTTTGTTTGTTTTTTTTTTAAATTATAATATTATTAAGTGCGAAAATGAAATTATTATGGTAGTAAATATATAAGATTAATAATAGTTACAGAGTTTGTTTTTCTTTAAATATATAATTTTGTTATGTTTAAGGACTTCTCATTATATTTATAAATACATGGATTTTTGGGGAGGAATTATAAAATAAATCCTAACGTAAAAAGACTGTTTCCGACATTATCTCTCAAATGCGGAAATTGCCAAATATCTTAGAGATGATGAGATGGCATGAGAAATTTGTTTGACTGAAAATTTTTGTTTTCTGTGTGGTGTTATTGTAGTATTGAAGAAGAATGTATATCCGACAATTCGGTTTGTTTTGCTTTGCTTTTTTTGTAATAATATCCTTGTTGTTGTTGTTTTTCTATAACTAATGGAGTTTGTTGTTGCTGTTGTGGTATTATTTAAGTAAAAAAATGAAACATCTGCCGTGTGTTTTTATTCTGTGGCAGCCATTGCCCTGGCCTGGGCACGCACACGTTTCTCATACTCCAATCGATTTTGACAATAAATTGTGTAAGCTTCGGCTTGGGCAGGATCCTTGATATTGGGCTCATTCAGCAAATCTTGAATACCCAACAAAATCTGTTTGATGGTAATGGCGGGACGCCAATCTTTCTCTTCATCCAACAACGATAAACACACCGTGCCGGAGGGATATACATTGGGATGGAACAATGGAGGTTCAAATTTACACTTGGGTGGAGAGGTGGGGTAGTCATCTTTGAAGATCATACGCAATTTGTAGAGACCACCCTCCCAGGGAGTACCCTTCTTACCGGGTATGGCACATTCCCAAATCATCAGATTCAATGTGCCGTCGGGATTTTTGGCCGGACGTGCAACAAACCCGAATGGATGATCTTTGCGCCAGGCCTTTCTTTCCTCGCCCAAACGTGTAATAGCAATACCAGACATGCTGTGTGAGAGTGTGTGTTGAAACTGTGAATGCCTTGTTTGATGCCTTCGTTCGTTTTAGTCTTCTTCTTGTTGGTGTTGTTGTAGAATTCTGGCTGCGGCTGCTGTTGGCTGACTGCTAGATATTGCGAAGGCACGCGTCTTATTTTTTCTACAAATTTCTGTCAAAGAAAAAATACACAATACTTTTTTTAATACAACTTCACTTCACAAAATCGAGCATGCTGTTCCGACTCTACCTTTTTGTTAGCAACTTAATAATATTTGTTTAGTAATAAACGGTTAATTTCAAGAGGCTTTATTTGAATTTTGTAAGCCTTCTTTTTTTGCAAATTTCCTCGCAAAGTAAAAAAATGCGTTAACCTTCGTATAATGTTCGGCCTCTGGCTTGTGTACATGTGTGTGTTGCAAAAATGACAAATTCAGTGTTGATAATTTTGGCGCTCGCGTCACAATGTTGCATTTGAAGTGATGGGTTGTATTTTGGCGGAGGGTGTCACAATAGTTGGCAACTCGGGTTATAATTAAATATGGGAATTACTGATTTTGTACAGTACTTTTTGAATGCATAAAAGTTAAACAAAAAAATATGTTTGTTAGAAAATAGTTAAAGGGCGAAGTGTCATAATGATATGAAGTTCGGAAAAGTAAGAACGAAAAAATCCTGGATTCAAAAATAAAACACTAGCCTGGTTTTTATATATATACGGTGAATATGTATTAATCGGGATTTGGAATACAACATATGTTGTATGAGAATATTCCCAACATGGTTTAGCTGCACAGTTGAAAAAATGATAGGCCAAATGCGGAGTATGTGTTTGCACCATCCTGATTTGAATTGGTCTACAAAATCTCTCTCGTTTATCTAGGTTTCTGTAGAAACTCCAAGATCAGCATTAACGTGATATGGGTTTATCTTTGACAGTTAATCGAGACATCAGCTGCGCTAAATGGACTACCTATTTATTGTGCCATGTCTTGTACATTGGATCTCTCTAGATTGTGTGTGTCTCTCTTTAAACGCATGGACAAGGGAGGTGATGTCATGGATGATTTCGATGATAGTACCTAAGATGGTACGGTAAGATCTTCGCCCCCCTCATGTAAATGGTCTTTTGGCGTCTTAAGGTGGAACTCTGTTGCATTTCTCAGCGTGGTTTTCTTTGAATTTTTGAAAGCTCGCCGGTGCCGAATAGCTTACGGAACAAGTGCAAAATAATAGCTATACTAGGATCAAGCTGAAATTTTTACCACAGTTAGGTATTGGACAGAGACATTGAAGGGAACGAGATAGCCGACGAGCTTGCTCAAGGGGGCTCACAATCGCCCAATCTTCCGATTGAGAGATCTGTGCAACCACCCATTGGTTATTTCATTAGCAAAATCCGCTTATTTTACGGCGAGGTAGTCGGTAACTGTTTGCAAAATCTCAAAAGCTATCTATCCCGAACTTTCTAGCAGAAAATAAGAGAGAGATCAAAATCATTGTGGGGATCATAACAGGTCACTGCATGTTTAGATCTCCCACTTCGAAATGGGACTCCGGCGGAGAGGATTACTGTCGTCTATTTGAGGACGAAGAAGAGCTAGAAACAATTGAACATATCCTCTGTAGATGTTCATCGCTGATCGGCAGAAGACACAAACAGTTCGGAAATCTAATCTAGCCTTCTTTTTTAAAATGGACCCCAATTAGATCCTAGGCTTTGTCAAAAATTTGACATGGCTAAAATAACCATCTCTAGACTCTCCTTCTCCTACTATCTTCTTCTGGCTCTTCCACTCTCTCTTCTCTTCCCGTTCTCTTTTCAGGTAAAAACGGTGATCACAATGGACAATAGTCTCCGAGTGGATGTTGTTACTATCAGCCGTACATCATCAACCTAACCTAGGTCTTGATCTGCTAATTATACTATGACAAATAGCCGTGGCTTGCGTGACGACTTGACCGTTCCATTTACTACAAATGACAGATTTTCGGTTCACGATGTGTTATAGCTCGACCTCAGTGTGAAGCATATACAATTATAAAAGTTATAAATAATATATTTCTAACAATAAAACAAGCCTAGATTTTTAAATTATACTTTCCCAAATCCAGAGCAATGATATGTCAATACAAAAGGTCGGATAATTTTTTAAACTCAGCATTATGGCTAATGAAGGCATCTGTATACTTTGATACGTCAAAATGTGCTTCATCGAAATATAGTTTTTTTTTTGGCCCTATTTTTATACCCTCCACCATAGTCGAAATAATCATTTCCGACTCGGTAAAGTATATATATATACATATATATATATTCTTGTCCGCCAGTCTGTTGTAGTCATTATAGCCTCTAGACGAATTGAGGTAGATCGCCAAAATTTGCGCATATTCCTCTTTTGTTTGTAGGCAGGTCATGTTTGAAGATGGGCTATATCGGTCCACGTTTAGCCATAACTCCCAAGTTTCGGTATTTTGGGGTTCTTGAGCGCGTTTTTTAACTGAATTCCCTGAAATTTGGTTTATTGAGTTCTTATTGTGTAGTAAAGCTCTCCACTGAAAATTATAAATATGGGTCCATTTTTTGGGGTGGCCCCCATATAAGGGAACCCTCCAAGTTTCGGCATTTTGGGGTTCTTGGGCGCGTTTTTCAACTGAATTCGCTGAACTTTGGTTCATTGATTTCATATTGGGTAGACTCTCATATTGGGAAACTCTCGACAAAAAATTATAAATATAGGTCATTTTTTTCGTTTTTTTTTTTTTTTAATTTGCAGCTAATTGTGAATGACCGATTTCATCAAATCCGAAAACTTTATTAAAAAAATATACCTAATATAAAGCGAATAATAAAACCTGTGTGCAATTCCAAAGATCTCCGCCAACTATTTGGCTGAAGGTATACATGCATTCGAATATCTCAGTTCATTACAAAGTTATAGCCATTTCGAGTTGAGCTTGTGTCAAAATATAATAATTACTCGTCGGTACGATTCATTATGAAGAAGACTAAATTCTCATATTGCACAAAAACCAAAGAATACATACAACTGTGTGTTACCAGATCGCTTGCACAGTGTTATCTGATGTTAGCTTTTAAATTGTGAGCATACTTTTAGGCGCATTTCTAAAGCATTTACATTTCTAAAGCACTTCTATTTCAATGGGGCGCCTGAAAGTATGCTCATAATTCAACAATTGACATCAAACGCCATCATAAAGCAGACAACAATCTGGTAACGTTGCTACATTTTTCTGTTTTTGTGAAGATGCGATTTCTTAATTTTTTCCATTTGAGGTAATAGGCAAACAGAACCGTGTAGCCGCTATATTTTGACAGAAGGTCAACTTTAAATCGCTATAACTCAGCGACGAATGGATATATTGGGATGAAACTTTCACGACTGGTTAGGGGAAATTGTGTAATTTTTAGGTGTATCAAAAACATAGACATTATGCGTCAGGTAAGCAAGGAAATCGTGGTATTTTGAGACCATGTTGATAGGGCTTCAAATGACTGGAAGTTTATGTATTTTGGTAAAAATTGGTTTTATACTACGGCTATTCGATTGTTTTTCTCTAAACTAATTTATTTTAAGCAAAATAATGACAATTGTTGGAATATTAAATGAATTTGTTGTGATACCAAATTTTACAACTACAGGCCAATTCAACGAATTAAAGTGCCCATAAAATCAATGGAGATGCAGGTATTTAGGTATTTAAAGAAAAATTTAATTTTTTGAGCCAAATGGTCGGATGTTTATAACAAAATAAAGAGGAAGGTATGTCGTTAATAATTATTAGCAATAATTGATTATTAAGAAATATTATGTGTGTCTTTGAAATCATCTTTCTAAAACCATATCTTGTGGAAAAATGGTAAAACTCAGAATAAATTCAATTATTGAACCTTAAATTAGTTTTGAATATTTTTAAGATTCTTAGAATTTGGTCTGATTTTTGAGTTATATTTGGTCTGATTTTTGAGTTATATGATTTTGAGACTTATAGTAAAATTTTATAGTGAAGAGTTTTGTAGAATACTCTGTCCTGCTAAAAACTTTAAAGCGAACATTTTTGTAGAATATTCAGACCTCCTAAAAACCCATTTTAAATGATTTTTATACCCTTCACAACACTGTGGTACAGGCATATGTTTGTAACAGGCAAAAGGAATCTAGATAGAGAATATGCATAGAATCACTTTCTAAGTCGATTTATGGATGTCCATGTATTTTTGTGAAACAAGTACAGGTCGCTCTTATGATCCGATTTTGATGAAATTTGGCACATTTCACTTATTTGAAATTGGAGAAAATCGATTCAGATTTAGATATAGCTCCCATATATAGTTTCGTCCGATTTTTTTAAATGGTGCACCAAACTCCTAATATTGGTCCAATTAAGACAAAATTTAGCACAGAGTACTGAAATTAGGTCCAGATTGATGTATGCGAAGTTTTTTTTTTTTGGAATCGGTTTAGATTTATGTAAATGGAGCAATATACAGTCAATGAAGTTACTACAGGTTAGTATGTGTATGGGCTGTTTTAATTTAGTTCAAATATCTATCAAATATCATTACGTTGTTAATTTCGTCCGATTCCATTTCAATGGTCTTCCAACAATGTCATGTCTATTATATCTAAACGATATTGTACGTATGAGCATCTCTTATACGTACCCAAAGTGGTCCTTACAGGTTTGAATCATTTCAAGAATGCCAGACCGAAAGGACCCATTTAGGGAGTTGATTGTGGGTTAATATTCAAGGCAATAGTATTAAAGAAAAAATGTAATTCTTTTTTTCAGATAAAAGATATAATTTGAGAAAAATTGTTAAAAAATCGGAATCAGTTCATTAATATTTAAATGAGTTGTAATATTTTTATCATTTAGGTTCATTTTTTGACTTTAGGAAAATTCTGAAGACAATTACCAGCTATAATTTCGTTTTAAATGGAGTGGCTTTTCAACTCTTTAACTCTTGAGTTTTCCGATGCTATTGTCATTTTGCTTAGACAGATGGAAAGGAGCTTCATCAGTTGTGGTAATTTTTCCATGAAATTCCAAGGATTATTTTCATGGACCCAATCAGCAAACGCATCATCACATTTTTGATAATCTGCCGGTTGGCTTTTTTAACTCAAAATTTTTAAAAAGACATTTTCCCAGCCAATTTATTATTTCGAGATCTTGGAGGGTAATGCACATATGTTCAGAAAATGTGGATATTGAATCCATATCTTGACATAGTTCCCATATAAATTTCATATATATTATTATGGTATTATTATGGTACTAGATGCATTTTGGAAGCGACGTGGATATAATGTAGCGTTCCGGATTATGGATGGGTTTTCAGTCATTTCACTAGTTTTACATAACCTGCAAATAAGATGAAGAACCAACCCATTTTCCAATCTGATGTTTTTCATGTCCAAAATATGGTAATATGTTGCAAAGCGTACTGTGTTGAGTGTAAAATAATGTGTGTTAAGTTTCGTTGATATATGTTCAGATTTCTATATAGCTTCTTTATATATTTTCGGCTGGTTTCATCTAAATGGTGCATGAATTTAATTCTCATAGTTTTTTTTTTAAATAATAAATATTTTTCCTTGAAAAAGTTTATTAAGAATCAAGTTTCCAATCTTTATAGTCTACGAAAAAAAAATATTTAAAAAATAAAAACTTGTATATTTGAAGAAGACAAGAAAGAGTTGGGCCAATAGGCATTAATTATGAATCTTGTTCGATGGCCAATGTTTAGATCAAATAGCTTACTCTATGAACTGACAAATTATAGCATTTCAACTTCACAAAGTCTTGTCATTTATAAATTTTTTTGTTCCACTTCCAATAATTGATTTAATCATCCAAATATAATAAATATTCAATTTTTTTTTATTTATTTTTAAAATGTATTTAATTTATTTATTATTTTTGTTTATTTTATTTTTTCTCATGTAAGATTATTTTTTATTTTTATTTGAATTTTTAAATTTCACATAATTTATTGTGTGTGTGTGTTTATACTAATCTATTATTAAATTTATTTTGGAATAAATTATTATTGTCACATACTTAGAGTAATTCATTCATATATTTATTTACTGTGTAATTTATTCATAGTTATTTTTGAAATGCTCAATCCTTTCGGTGATATTGCAGGGGAAAAATAATAATTGAGAATATATATTTTTTACACAAAAACAAAAAATATAAAATTTAAAAAAAATAATAAAATAATAAAAAACCAAATAAAAAAAATATGTTACATGCTAATAAACAATTTAAAAAATATATATGTAGGTATGTGGGGAGGATATAAAGAAACAATAATAATAGTAAAAAATAAAAAAATATAAATGAACACATTAAAACTTCAATTATGTTTTTAAGAATTATTCATATGGTTATTTGAATAGAGGTAGAAAAATTAGAAAATTTCATTACATATATATCTCAATTTTAAGTAACTATGAGACAAGTTTGATGTATTCGATAGAGAACTGTTGGCTTGATTTGTTTTTGTGTATAATTATCCCTTCCAGAGCCAGCTTAATAAATTGTTAGATCTGACAATTTGTAGGGGAAGCTAATATAAACATGTGTATAGATTCGGGAATTAATTTTTATCGGTTTAGTATTGCTTCGTTATTCCCTTGGAATATAAAAAAAATAGAATAAACTGGAAAGAACCCTAATATGTGGCTCCTGTTCATTTTTTTTCTAAAAATACATCAAAAAAATTATTAATGTCTTTGGGTCTGAAAGGGTTATAAATTTTTTTGTTTTTAATTTTTGAAATGGGCAAAGAAACCAGTTTTACGGGAAATTTTATATAACACAAAGTGAGTATAAAGTCCGAACTATATGGCGAGAATCTTAATTTTAAGTTATTAATTAAGAGACAAGTTTGATGTAGTAAAGAAAGATATAGTGTCGCGGGTATTTTTTTTGTTTTCTCCTGTCTCATAATATAATTTAAAAACATAATTGAAGTTTAAGGCATAAAAAAAACAAATAGACTTAATATATTCATATACATCGATTTTTTTGATAATATTTATAATAATAAACAGTTTGCATTATAAAAGTAGTTAACAGAAACAAAAAAAAAAAAAAATGAAAAATTATTTATCTCATAAAAAGAAAAAAAAATGTATAGAAATTATAATTTTTTTATTTATATAAACTACTTAATTTATTTAAAATATGTAATGTTTTATTTTTAATATTATATTTATAGTAGATTATAAGTAATTAAACTACATCAAGGTGGTTGCTTTAGTGATTCATATTAATTAATATTTAATTATTATTGTTTTCTTAAATGTTTCTTATTTTTTCTGAAAATTGTTTCGTTACGAAACTATCGCATTTAAAGGCTTATAACTTAGAGAGTTTTTTTTTTCATTTCCATTCGGGTATTACTAGATTTAATTATTTTTTTATTTTCTTTCATTTCTCATTTCTAATTAAATTTAATTTTAGTTTATTTTTTAATTTTATTGTTGCTTAATTATTAAAACTTTGGCATGCATTTTATGTCATGTGATTTTTTGTTTTGTTTATAGCTTTCAAGAATTATTTTTAATTTTTTTTTTAAATAATAAAAGTTGAAAATTTCTATTAAAAAAGACGCCAACAAATGCATAGTAATTATGGTTTTTTTTGAATAGAGGGGGTTTTCTTTGATTGTTTTTTTTTTGTTTGTTTAATATTTACAGAGATTCCTTTAAAAATACTGTACGTTTCAAAACCATGCATTTGTTGGGAATTTTTTATATTTGATATTCAGCAGCAACTTGAGAGTTGGATGCTTCTTTTTTTATTACTTTTTATTATTGCCATTTATCCCTTGTCAATAGAGTTCCATCTATTCTTTATTCTGTGTGTGTGTGTTTTCTCTTCAAAAACACTTATAATACCATTCCCAATTATGTTGGTTCCACGTTGTTGACGCCGCCGTCGTCCGGAGATCTTGCCAGTTCTATCAAATGGCAGCCTCCTGCTGTAAATTTTCTTTATTTTTTTGCAACATCAAAGCATTATTGGTGGGTGATCCGGCTGCATTTGGACTTGGACTATCATTCGCGTCGGGTCGACGCATTTTATTTTTACAATAGAATTGTTTATGGGCCAAATAGGTTTTCATATAATTGAACGAGATATCACATGTCTGGCAATATTTTTGATTATTGATATTTTCTTCGGGTGTGGCATTTAGCGGTGGTGGTGGTCCAATTGCGGGTGAACGTAACGCCGCCGGTGTAATACTCATGCTAATTGTAGAGGGTGGAGGTGGTACTACTCCGTGTCCTTCGCCACCCATACCACCAACAATATCCATTGGTTCAGTTTTAATGTGATGTGAAATAAAATCATTACCACCACCAAGTACGGCGGGATGTTGTCCCATGCTGGGTGGCAAGGGAGAATTGTTGTTATCATGAGGATTTAGTAAGATGACAGGGGTTGTATTGCCACCAGTCGGATGATCCAAGGGTTCGGATTTTATGGTGAAACTTTAAATAATTAAAAAAAAATAACTTATTTTATTGTTCGGTAAATGTTGGAATATTTTTTATCTTACCTATTAAGTCCATTGTCCCCATTGTGGCTGCCACTCAATGAATTGGTTTCGGCAGCATCTAAATCTCCAGCTTCTGGAGATATGGATGGTGAATTGGTTATTATGTGAGGATGTACCAATTTCATGTGACGCAACTGAAAGTAAATAAAACAAAATATTTTTTTATTAATTAGTGATTCGGAATATCGCAGAATTTCATATTTTTTAGTTTATTTAAAGTATGGATACTTTAAAAAATTATTTACACAGACCATCTGAACCAGGAAGATTGAAAAAATTTTGAAAATATTAAAGAATATTTTTTTAATTTACCAACCCTAGCCTTCTTTTACACTCTAACTTGAGACCTAATATCTAAAATCGATCGGGACTTTTATATTGGGGATATTTCATGTTAGGTTAGAAAATTGTGCTAGGACCTTAGATGTACCGAAAAATAAATAAAACAATATATTTTTTTATTAATTAGTGATTCCGAATATCGTAGTTCTCAAAACGGGATTGAATAAATGTTGAAAATATTAGAGAGTATTTCACATAGTCCACGAAAAAGAAACATTTTAAACAAGTAAACAATGTCGGCCGATCCTAACCTTCTTATACCCTCCACCATGAGGCGGACATTCTTAATGCCTAAAATCGATCGGGAATTTTATATGGTGGCTATGTCAGTGTAAATTGCAGCCAAAAAAACGAAATACCAAACTACACTTTGGTTAGAAAATTGGTGTAGGATCTCGGATATACCGCTTCTGGTGGTCTGTAAAAATATTTTCAAGAAATTCACGCTTCAGGCGGTCTGTAATTATTATTTTTTTAGCAAATACTCGCTTTTAAAGGACATTTAAAAAATATTTTTAGGAAATCAGCGCTTCAGGACCTTGAAAAAATCTTCTTTAAAAAATACACGCTTATGGGGGACCTCGAAAATACCTTTATACGTCTTTAAGAAATACACGCTTCGGAGGGATCATGAATAGATCTTCTTTAAGAATTCCACTTTTCTGAGGGATCTTGAAAGAATATTCCTTAAGAAATCTACGCTTCTGAGGAACCTTGAAAGAATATTCCCACGCTTCTGGGGAATATTGAAAACATCTTCTTTGTTATTTGCATTTTGCCTTCTTTAACAAATACACGCTTCTGAAAAAATATTCCTTAAAAAAACTACACTTCAGAGGGTCATTGAGTATTCCTTAAAAAAACTACACTTCAGAGGGTCATTGAGTATTCCTTAAGAAATCTACACTTCTGAGGGAACTTGAAAAGTTCTTCTTTAAGAAATCCACTCTTTTGACGGACCTTAAAAGATATACCTTAAGAAATCCACTCTTCTGAGGGACCTTGAAAGAATATTCCTTAAGAAATCAACTCTTTTGAGGGACCTTGAAAGAATATTCCTTAAGAAATCTACGCTTTTGAGGGACCTTGAAAATTTCTTTTTTTTTTTAAATTCACGCGTCTGAGGGACCTAGAAAATTATGTTGTATATCCCTGATTTTTATTTTGAATTAGAAAAAAACGCATGCTTTACGTTGACGTCAAGTTCTAACTCAAAAACCTGTGTCCCTGAAAAATATTCTAAAAAGTTCGATTCTGTATTGAGCTTTATAAATCCTACGCTTTCCGAGAAACCATAAAAAGATTCTTATAAAACCTACACCCTACGAGAAACCCTATAAAATATTCTTTTAAAAACTACGCATTGCGAAAGATCCTAAAAATCATTCGTTTATAAACTATGCCTTCCCAAAGAGCCCGACTTCAAAAACTACGCTTTGCAAGATACCATAAAAAATATTCTTTAAAAAACTTCGACTTCCAAGAGTCCTGAAAAACTATTCTATAAAAAACTACACCTTGCGAGAGACCCTAAAAATTATTCTTTTACAGCTGCTGCTGCAATCGAAAGTTTAAGTGCCAATTCTAGATTTTTATTGGCCAATAGAGGATTCAACGATTCTTCCGGTAGCATAGATCTCAAGTGTAGATTATCGAAAATATTTGTATTTTGCGGCACTGGCTGGTGGTGGTATTGTGGCTCGTGGTGACATAGAGGAGGTACTGCCAGCCCCAGAACATCTTGGAGATGTGGTGCGGGGTCTTGGTAAGGGACTCATTGAAGGGCTGTTGTGCAATGAGGGCGCGCAATCGAGGCTTCGGTTAGACCAGGGTTTTTTAGGTCTGGATACATATTTTCAAATTCAAGGCTCCTGTTGGGTCCCTAAACAAATATTTTTAAGAATCCCGGCCTCTGTTTAAAAAAAATCCCACGCCTGTCCCTGATGTTGCCAATACCCTTTGTATTGAATTATAGACTTTAGAAACTTCTCCAACAACAACCTCAAATTATTTAGGTTAGAATTTAACACCCCATTAACTCAAGTTCATTTCAAAATACTTCTTTTTTTGTATTATTGTTTTAATGAAATATTTTTTAATAACTAAAATTCACGATCGGTGGGTGTGTCCACAGCCCGGCCTTACAACAACAGAATTCCATATTTAATATTGAAATAGAAAAAAAATCTACAACTTATTAGCAATGACTACGAAACAATTGTTCCAAATAGTTATTGACATTTAAAATAGTTGTTTTTTTTGTTGGCTGTTATATTCTAAATCGCTTTTTTAGTGTGTTATCGTAATCGAATCTTAAAAAAAATAAACTTACCACATTGCCTTTATATGTAGATGAATAATTACAAATATCACAATTGAACACCTGCTGGGGTGTCTGAGACTGCTGCGATTGCTGTTGATGTTGCTGCTGTTGTTGAAGGCCAGCTGCCGCAGCCACCGCCGCTGCAGCGGCAACTTGTTGCTGTAAATGTTTTTGTTGCTGCTGATGCTGTTGCACCAAATGTTCTTGATTCAGCGATGCAGCACTGGGTATCTCAATCGATTCATCTTCCAAAATGCAGGCCATGAAGTGTTCCTCATTCAGATCGGTGGATTTTTTGTCGAAATGCATGCGTATGTGGGTGCGCATGCCTCTGTAAGAAGAGCAAAAAAGGATTCATAAATTAAATATTTGAATATTATTAAATGGTTTTTTCGAAAACTCACCTCAATGTATTGCCTTTGTAGCGGCATATGGTACATCGGAATGCCTTGACGGTACCGTGGGTCTCCATGTGTTTACGACTCTCACTGGCCGTTAAACTAACAGCATCACACAGTGGACATTTATAGACATTTTGATTATGGCTTGTGGCCGCCGAAGAAGACGAGTTATTACCCGTGGCGGTGTTGGCAACACTTGCAGCAGCTGATGGTGGTGGTGGTGCAATGGGTGTTTGTGCGGCTGGCTGTTGGACCAAAGCCGCTGGTGGTGGACATGGTAGACCAAATTCATGTACCGTTTTACATTTGGCGCATTTTTCTTTGGCTGGCAAAACCACGGCTTCGGGATTGGCAACAGCAACGGCTGCCGCCGCCGCTGCAGCAGCTGCGGCCACAGCACCACCTCCCTTGGGACAATAGTAATTTTGATGGGCCCTCAAATTATCCAGCGAGGTATATTTAATGCCACAGGCAGCACAAATCAATTGCTGATAAGCTACCGGTGTTGTTTCGGCCGGCGATGCAGCCGTTGCCATTGGTGGGGTGGAAGAGATTTTTGTCTCTCCCTCACTGGCCTCCTGGTTGCGAGCCGAACAATAGTGTTGCTTGTGCGCCAAATAGTTCTCATATTTACAAAATACAATATTGCATTCCTTGCATTTGGATACACCTTGTTTGACATAAATTTGGGGTTGATTGGCGGCAGCTGGTGTTGCTGGTTGGGTGGTGGGGCCCGCGGCCGGTGCTGTTGGTGGTAAAACGGGTAGTCCCAACAATGCTCCACGTCCGGAGGCAGCCGCTGCAACAGCAGCTGCAGCCAATTCAGCCGGTGTGGTAGGTCCGGAGGATTGCCCCGCCGCTGCATTATTCGAAGAGCTGACAGCAGCCGCTGCTGCTGCAGCCGAAAGTTTAAGCGCCAATTCTAAATTTTTATTGGCCAATAAAGGATTCAATAATTCTGCCGGCAGCATAGATCTCAAGTGTAGATTATCGAAAATATTTGTAGGATTTGCTGCAGCGCTGGCAGTTGGTGGTATTGTGGCTGGTGGTGACATGGAGGAGGTACTGCCAGCCCCAGAACTTCTTGGGCTGGTGGTTCGGCGTCTTGGTGAGGGACTCATTGAAGGGCTGTTGGGCAATGAGGGTGCGCAAACAATTTGTTCGGGTGTTATGCTGCCAGTATCATCTAGTACCAGATTTTCCTTGCCTGCTTCGAGTAGGGTTTCCATATCCAAACGATTTGAATGTTCCCCTCCGGCAGAGGTGTCAAGAAATGAGGCTGCAGCAGCAGCTGCTGCTGCTGCATTTAAACGTTGTTGTCTTTGCAGCAATGCGGCAATGGGTGAACGACGCAAGGATAAATCCAAGGGTGCCGAATCTCTGTAATCAAAGAAAATAGAGGGAAGACAATTAGTACCTCATAGGCAGCAAGTGGTGGACTTTTTAATGAGAACCCCTTTTTATCGGTTAAAAATAGATTTTTATTTTGAGACATTCCCTTAAAAATATATATTTTTAATTAGGTTCTCTTCAAAACCCCACGCCTTTTTGGGTCCTTGAAAAGATATTTTTTAAAAAAATCTAAGTCTCTTTTGGGGTCCTTAATAAAATTATTCTGTTACAATCCACACTTATGGCTAATCATTCCCTTTAAAAATCTTCGGGAAAACCTGTATCTTCTTAATCACTTACCTCAATCCACCTTCCCCCTTGCGTTTGGGTGTATTCTCCGAGGGCTCTTCAATATTGCGGCGAATATTTTTCTCAGTCAATAGACTTTCATTCGAAGACGAGGCCGAGGACGATTGCTGCTGTCGTGCCGACTCAACCATTGCCGCTGCCGATTGTTGTGATACCGAATTAGATGCGGCGGCTTGTCCAACCAAATTATTGGCCGCACTCAGGGCATTAATATTTAAAGCTGTAGCCAAGGGTTTCAATTGGCCACCATCCAAGGTGAAACATGTTGTGTCGGGATTTACCACAGAGGCTGAAGGAGATTGTCTGGAAAGGTATTTTGTTTTAATTAGAAATTTTATTAACAACAGCAGCAATAAAATTTGTCCACTTACAGTGGTCCCGCAATCAAACTGGCCGAACGTATCAACGAGTAGGGTATTATCAAAATTGGATTTGTGGGCAATGCCAGAAATGGTGTTGTGGGTGGTTGTTGCAAGGCTGCGGCAGCAGCTGCTGCAGCGGCGGCTGCTGCCACCATGGCCGGGGTGGGAGTTTTAGTTCTTGTCTGGGGACTGATGGCACCCGAATGTACAGAATTGGCTTTGGGTGTGGTGGAAGCTGCTGCTCCCGCTGTGGATACTTCCAATTTTGGTGTCAGCTGGCCATCGGTACGTCTTGAACTGCAATAATGTTGTTTGTGGGCCCTATAGGTCTTCACATTATTGAAGCGAATATCACAGTCACTGCAATAGCGATCGATTTGCTGTAATAAAGAAAGAAAAGGGAGAAGGTAAATATTTTGTTATTTCTCATTGCTTTTAAAAAATTCCGAAACCAACAACAACTCACTTGACTAGTATTGTCTTCCATTAGGTTAGCAGCTGCTGGGCCACTATTTGAATTCGAGCTGGGTGCTGGGGAGGTCTGATGCATACGCATATGGCGATTGAGTGAGACCTTTTTGTCGGCACTATAGGAACATTGGGTGCAAGCGTATTGTTTGCCAGTCTTTGGAGCCTTGGCGGCGGGTTCGGAACCTCCGCTATTAGCACCCACAGTGGTGGGTGCGGTATTTATGGCCTGAGCTGCAGGTGAGGTGGAAGATTTATCGGCAGCGGCTGCTGATGGCACGGTGTCTTCATCGTTGTCCTTATGGCGATGTGAACAATAGTACGACTGATGGGCCTCCAGGGTAGAGGGTGAGCTGAAGCCAATGCCACAGGGCACACACATAAACACTTTCATGCGTGGTGCTGCAACCTCCACGGGCGCTGGTGTGGCTTTGGCCGGTATTAAAGGCTCCACAATTGGTGGAACGCCGCCACCGCTAGGAACCAAGAGCGGTGTTGGAGAATCAATTTCCCGTTCAAGGTGCTGCTGTTGTTGTTGCTGCTGTAAACGTTGTTGTTTCCTTTGCTGTGTCTGCGATTCATGCACCACCTTCAAATCTTTGGCATCTGGCATTAATGCGGGATCCGAAGCCAACAGAGCATTTAATCTCAATTTCGGCATAACCTGTGATGATGGTGAGGTGGTGGTTAGTCTTTGCTGCTGATCATTCTCCTCCGATTTTGCCGGACTGGAGGTGGAAGTATTTTGAGAGGGACTTGCTGTTGGACTGCAGGATTTGCGATTTTTACTATGGCTGTCTTCATCGTCATCCTGGTGAATATTTTCCGCATCCATGGGATTTGGCGAGGAAGCTGGTGTGCTGGATCGCCTTTCTTCGGTCTCTCTGTCTTCTTCGTGGGATGTTATATCCATTTTTTGTCTTTTATGCATTGGTGGTTTACTGTCGTCCATATCTTCGTTATCACTGTCGTGATCGATTGTGGTAGTTTTTGTTGTTGCAGTTTCATTCAAGTCATTATCAGTCTCTTTTGTTAAGCGTTTGGGTGATGATGCAGCATCACTGTGGCATTCATCATGCTGATCCAGCTGCTGCTGTTGTTGTTGTTGTTGTCGATGATGATCATCTATATTCATTATGTTGTTTGTATTGTAATCTTTGGAATCTGTAAGTAGAGGAGAGGGGAGAGGGAATTTGGTTAATGAATTTATTGTGAGAGGAAAAAAGATTTAGAAGAGAATTTTGAATTGAATTTTATAAAAAAAAATATTTTAAAATATATATTTTTTATAAGCATGAATTTTTTATAAAAATTGTATTTTTTTTTTTTCAGGCGTGGATATATTTTTTGAATATTTCCACAGGTTCAAACGAAACAGGTCGTGAAGTTTTTAAAAATATTTTTGCTGGTATAAAAAAAAATTCACCTGGATTTTTTAAAAATAATTTTTTAATTTGTTCCTGGTTTATGTGTGGATTTTATTTCAATATTTTGTTTAGAGTCTTAGTTCATTTGTAGATTTTTTTTGGAGATTTTGTAGAAATATTTTTTCCAAATCTGAACACATAAATTAAATTTAAAAAACAGCCCCGATACCATCTCAAATGTAAAGATTTTAAACAATCGATAAACACTTCTCTAAGAAAATTGTCCAAGGCCACAAAGAACATTTTCACATTGTTTTTCATGTCTTCTATTTTAAAATTATTTTTTTCTGGAAAAAAATATCACCAACTTGAGATTGAATATGGGGATAAACAAATAAATACGAAAACCCACAAAATCTTAGCTTCTTTTCAATACAACACGCTTGAGAGGCCAACAAAAAAAACACAGAAGATGAAACTTCATAATCTAGTCAAGGCTCGGAGGAAGAGGGAGAGGAAAAAAACTGAAACCATAGTAGCCATTTAAGAAGCAACTCTAGTTACCGGATAGTGTGACAGTGTGCAGTGCATTCAACAATATGGTGCAACAATATATCCATGTGTTGTTGTGGCAGACAAAGCGACGCTTTGGTAAAAATCAGTTTTGTCTGTCGGTTGGTTGGTCGGAGTCTTCCATTCATGGGATTCTTGACGATGTTGTTGTCGTCGTCGTTAAACGTTTTGCTAGGCAACCATGTTTTTTTGTGTCGGATTTGTCCGAACCGACTCTATGTCTGTCTGATACACCATTCACATTCATACATACTTATTATATGGTGATGGTGGTGGTCAAAGAACACCAAAAAGCTCAGATCACAACTAAGCCTGGTGGATTTGGATACCAATTTTTTTGGTTACGTCTTGACTTCCCCAAGAAACTTTGTTCTTTTTTTTTTGGTGGTTGTGTTAGTGCGTTGCCGTTTTTTCACTTCTTGTCATCACAAACAACGTGAGTTTTTTTTTTGGGTATTGTTCTCGTTGTTGTTGCTGTTGCTACAGGATGGCCTGACAATTTGTTCGATAATAATTGTTAACCTTTTGGTCAATTTGACACATATTCACCAATTGAATATCCAACAGCCAGCCGAAGGAGCAGATGAGGAAGAAACGAAACGAAGCCAAACGATTGCCATAGTTTATAACTCTGGTGAGAATTTCATTGGAAAATGTCCGGTTTGAATGTTTTTTATTATTGTTGTTTTCGCTTCAGTCGTCGTTTTTTTTTTTGTACTGAAGTTTATTTCCAATATGTGTGTGTGTGTGCGATTGTGTGTCTGTTCGTTATATCTCTGATATGGGGTTTCATTTCTTAAGAATTGTTTCGGGATTGAAGAGTAGAAAGATTTTCAAAGAGATAAACTCTAGTCCAAAAGAGATTTGTTTCCAGCATCAATTGTTTCAGTATTTTTTTTTCTTTGAAGATGATGTTGAGATACCCTACACTCTTGCTCTGGGGTATATGTGGCACAAGGTATTACATTTTTTCTATATGAAATAAAAATCATATTTGATTTTTTTAATAAGAAAAAAATACAATCTATAAGAAAATTTTCTATAATAAAAAATACATATTTAGGTGTGTGCATTTCCTGTTTTTCCTACATGAACAAAAATCATATATTGTTTCTTTATATAAAAACCTATATTATTTCTTTTATATATAAAAAAAATTCAAACATTCTTAAAACCTCCATTCTTGGTAAAAATATTTATAAAAAAATTTCCGCTAAAATAACATATTTGTTAGAAATTTAAAAGGGACAATGAATGTTTTTTTTAATCCACACTAAAACTAGGAACACTGAAAACATATTTAAAAAAAAAGAACATCATAAATGACCTTTAAAATATGTTTAAAAAAGTACAGCCTTCAAAGCCGGGATCCTGAACAAATATTAAAAAAAATAAATCTTAAATCATATCTTTGATAAAATCCACGCTTTAATCACGACTTTTAAAATATTAGGTTGGATAAACAAATATTTGGCCATAATCGGTCATTCCGAAGCATGTTAAATAAAGTCCTATAGTTCATATAAAAATAATGGATTTATTTTTCCCCAAACAACTAAAAAATATTAAAACCAGTGAGCGGAGCAGTATAGTCGGACGCGGCCGACGATATGATACCCTACACAACTTCTACGAAAATCTAACTATCTGTTGTTCTCTATTCTGTGCTCGGGCAATATTTCGCGATATTAGCACACTCTTGACCGATTAGAGGTCAACCAATATTACTAATATTCAGTACAACCCTATTAATTTCTTGGTCATATTCCCTTCGCCGAGGGTTGTGTTGCGATGTTCGGCTTTCAATTGTGGCCTATAGATCGTCCCAAAATAATACAAAAAATAAAGTTATCGGTCCAGTTCATCCCAAAATTATTATCTGATCATCACCGAAAATTATAGGCGTTGTCCTTGACCATAACTGGAACCTCTTGGAAATTTTTAAAGCGATCTGCGCTATATTTCCGCCCTATAGTGTGGTAATGGGTTACTAAATAATATCTGAATACATTAGCACCTGTAAATATTTATGTGTAACTTCCACATCCGAGTACATACGACAATATATTTTGTATTAATTTAAAGGTCAACCACTCCTCTTGGATATATTATCAACTTCTCGGGTCTATGTCCTTCCGGGGTAAATATATACGCCATCAGATACAAAATTGGTAATTTTTCACACAAAAGTCAGGGTCCATTTGATCCGCTAAATATAGAAGATTTTTATCAAAACAGACACGCTTATTATTTGGCCCGAACCCCTTCTCCATGTTCGGGTGAAGATTGGTCCATAACTGTGGACTGTATCGTGTTTACAAATTATAATGGACAGACAGACGGACGGACACACATGTCTTAAAGGTTGGTCTAGGACCAATATTTCGCGACGCTACAAACTCTTAGGGCTGCACAAAGCTATAATACCCTGACAACATTACATTAAAAAATATTTAAAAAATCACCCTTGGTCCAGGACCCTTTAAATACATCTACTCGCACACCCGAAGCCTAAAAAGGTACGTTTTAATTAAGACTTAAAAAATACGTTTTAAAAAAAATCCACTCTCAAAAATAATTTCTTTAAAATCCAAGTTTAAAAAATATTTTTAGAATTCCACGTTTGAAAAGGGAAAAAATGAACCAGGACGTTGAAAAAAATATTTCACTTTTTTTGGAGGCCCTTGAAAATTATTTTTGAATAAATTTATTCTAGAGAGGTCATTGACAAAATTTTGAGTCCTTGAAGGTTTGGTTTCCTTGAAAGTTTGTATTTAAAATTCTAAATTTTTACGGTCCTTGAAAAATAGAAGGCCTCGGGGCCTTGAAAATTATTTTTGAATAAATTTATTCTAAAAAGAGGTCATTGACAAAATTTTGAGTCCTTGAATGTTTGGTTTCCTTGAATGTTTGTATTTAAAACTCTAAATTTTTACGGTCCTTGAAAAAGTAGAAGGCCTCGGGGTGTCCTTGGAAAAATGTTTTTAATAGATCCGAAATTTGTTAGTCTTTATTGCCCGTCTAAAATTTGTTTTTGAAAAATCGATAAACCCAAAGCTATGATATTTCTTTGTATTAGTTACCTGTTACCTACACCCTCATTATCCTTATTATATCCTAGACGTCTTGTTCTATATTATATAGAACAAGACCCAATTAGCAAGCGGAATTCTTAAACCAGATTTTTTTTTTAATTTTTCAATATTTTGATATCCCTCCACCCTTCTCCCTTTATATTCTACTCCGCAATAATCCAGAATTATTTTTTTTTCACATTTTTTTTATCACCGATAAACAAAAATATCCAAACAATACTTGGAAATCAGTTAGGCTTGAAATGATGACAAGAAGATGGCTTCGTTGTTGTTGGAAAGGCAAAAATGTTGTAATGTCGTAAGAGAACCTTTGAAATCGAAAAAGGAAAATCTTTAGGCAAACAAGAAGAAGAAGAAGAGAGAAAAATCAAACGTCACCAGCAATAAATGCAACAACGACAACAACAACTATAACTGGCACAATGAAAATTGTGTAATTAAATTTATCATAACGAGAAATCAATTTGCTTTTGCTGCCTATAAAAAATGTGTTGTTGTTGTTGTCTAGCAGATTCGATGTAATGCGATGCGTTGCAGTGCGATGGCTCAAAGTTCTCCTTGTGTAAAATGCCGCTTCTTTCAGGAGTATTTATTTATTTTTTTCTTTGTATTTTGTTTTCGCGTTTAGATAGTTGTCGTCAGGTCCCCTCTTTGGGTTGTGGCTTTTTTGTCGCAAACGGAGTGTTTGTCTGTCACTATTTGTTTTTGCTGCTGTTCGCTTAAACACTTGTCGCATAAACGTATGTGTGTTTATGTGATACAGTGTGTGCGGTATGGCATGCCACATGCTGTTGTATAGTAACTGCAAATAATGTTACGCTGCTTGGTTATGCGCTGATTTACTTGACTAAGTTTCGTGTGTTTTTTCTGTACATCCTTCTTCTTCTTTATAAAAAAACGAAGTGTGGTAAATGTTGTTACGCATGCGCATGTGCGCAAGCGCACACTCTTTCGCTTAAAAATGACTTTAGCCAGAGTTGTGACTTTTGCCAAGTTTTAGTTTTATTTCACCCTCCTCTCTCTCTCTCTCTCTCTCTCTCTGGCTACCATTGTTAATAAAACCTACCTCAAAGAAACGATTGTAGGCTGTGTTCCATGGTGCGGTATTCCTGTCTCTATATGGACTTAC